TATTAGACGATATGAACATTTTTATTTCACATTTTGACTGAAACCTAGGAAGGAAAATTATAATAATCATTACACACACTCAGGAAAATAATTCAAGATTAGGATGATAGAGGATGGTGGCCGAGGGGTTGGACCTACGGACTACCAACTTGAAGGTCCGAGGTTCGAATCCCCATCCATTTATTATACATGCAGATCAAAAAGTATCATCGAGCTGACAAAAATATTGCACTATTTAAAAAATCGACCTGGCTGAATATCCAAGGGGTGGTAGCCATTAAACAAAAATGTAATAAAATTGTTAATTAGTATTAATGAAGCAAATATCTAATATAAATGTCAAATAAATATTTAAAAGAAATATTTCTTAAATATTTAAGAATCTGTCGCGTCAGATCTACATTAAATATTTTTTAAAAAATATTACTATAATATTTGGATGCTATCGGGGGTAGTTTGCTCTAGAAGCCGGTCATCGAAATCTTTCACTAAACAAAATACGAGCTTCTGAAAATTTAGGAAAAAATCAAATTTACAAACAATTTTAAAACCACTGATAAATTTTAATTGTATTTGGTAGATATATTAATCGGAAAATAAAGACGCAGAGTTTTTCATGCAAGGCTAATTTTAACAGATTTTATGGCATATTGACTTTATATTTATAGACAAAATTAATACATCAATAAGCATATCGTCAATAAGCATCAATAATACATTTATAAGTCATTGAATTTCATATACAAAAGTTACCTGCAAAGTTTCCAAGTTCAATTCAAATTGAAATTGGGGAATCTTACTAATTAAAAACGGCGAATCACATGAAAATATTCAAGAGAGCTTTCGTTTTAGATTTTTTTTTAGATAAATTTAAATGAAAAAAATTTTCCTTCTTTAATTTTTAAATAAATGTTTATTTGATCAAAAACTATTGGTGTAGCATTTTTGGCCAGAAATATATTAATATCATGCAAATGAACAAGCTCGGACGCGCCATAATTCGCATTTTTTCTCATGTAAATGCCCTGTGTTAATATTAATATGAATGTAAAAATAAACCATTGTATCTTGGCATGGCTAGATTTTCGTGTGTAAGGATTATGCGATTTCGTGGATGAATTAAGTCCATAGAGAAATTTTATGCATGTTGATAGATCAATTTTATTTCTGTACGAAATCAGTTTTTTGGAAGTTGCAAGGAAATGGAAAGTTGTTAGCTCTTAATAATTCGGCATTTGTCGATTGAAATTAGTTTTCTATGGATGAAAATTAAAATTCTCGCCTTTAGCTGCGTTGCCACAGCGCGGATATGAGTGCAAAAGTTGATAACCCAATTTTTATGACACAATTGTCTTGTCTTAATCACAGGTCTTAATTTAGCCTGTGTTAAGTGCCAAGTACATGTACACTATCATAGAATATCTCCCCTAATATAATAATATAAAAATAAATTATAAGGGAGGATGTTCTGTGTACACAATCACAGTTAAAGACAAGTAAACACAGTGACTGACTACTCACTATTCTGTTAGTCGGTGCACAGGCAAATGAAAGGTTTGTCATTTATTTATTTATTGTTCTAGTTTTTTGTAGTGTGCATCAGCAATAGCTATTTTTAAGACTTGAATTCTTATATTAACTGCAAAGGCAAGGTGTTAATTGCACAGCTTAAATACTTAGTTTACAATCGTACAGGATCTTCAATATTCAGCAAAAATTACCATAATTAGATCATTATTACACTCATAAATCATAGAAATAACTGATAATACTAATTTTCAAACATTTAAGAAGGACACCTGAAAACATATTGATATAAAATAATGACATTGTTTCAATGGAAGTGAATCCTGTTAACTTGGACGAAGAAACAGAACAACATTCGCATACTAGTAATTCATCTGAGATGAAAAATCGTCTGGCAAGCGCAGGTAAAGCTTATTTAAAGTTTAAAATCAAAACTCATCGAGATTAGGGCACCAACGACAGGGAGATAAAATGGAAACACTTATTATTAGCGAAATTAACAATAAATCAATATCTCACTTCTGCTGATTTCATTGTAAGAAAAACATCGGTGAATCAGTTTGCTGCAAGAAGGAAATTTAATGGAACAATATATGCAATGTACCCGAAATATCAGAGGAACAATCTGGTAGTAACATAGGATAACGAATAGTTTCTCGCATGTTGTAAAATAGATGGGTCCGCTAAAATCGGACAATAATTGATATTCTGGCAAATGATTTTCAGAAAGGATTTTTTTAAGATCATTTAAAGCAATCAGATTACATTCTACTACGAATTCCACTCCCGACAAACTCATTTAACACTTCCAGAGTCGGCCCAAGAACCGTTGCAAGTCAATGGCAAAACTGATTCAAAAGAAGAAAATTCGAAAACATTTATTCGTCTAAAGAACGTTCCATGTGTTAATCAGGAAAATGAAAGCAACACAAATAGTTCGCCTATTTCAAACCTACCTATAATCAATGTTGAAACAACGCCTCAGGTGAAAACAAACAACTTACTACCTTGCCAGTTGTATCGAAGAATCGAAAAACATGTTGATATTCTATTGAATCCTGAGGAAATACCCGTATATGAATTTTATGATGAAGATGAAGAAAAAAAGAAAATCGAACAAAGAAAGAAAGATCGGGAACTGAGAGAAATTAAAAATCGCACTTGCATGTAAGTACTTTGTTTCATACTTTTAAACAGTTATCTTCAGAACTGTATATTATCAGTTTAAAACGTTCCTATTTGCTAGTAGTGGGAATGAATTAACTTATTGATTGAGTGCTGCTAAGTAGTGTACTGTTTCAGTCATTGTCGCAAAATATTTCCTGATGCAATGGATGTACTCCGCCATAAAAGAGTGGCTCATCCGACCAAAAGAATAATTTTACAGCGAGAAGAAATTCAACGCTACATGGCTGTAGAAGACAGAAAACAGTGTCCAGTATGTTTTATCAAAATATGCCCGAAAGGTTACAAATCTAAATACGTAAAACACTTGCTGACTCATTGCATTGATTACAAGTTTGTTTGTCGTGTGTGTGGGATGAAATTTCGAAGATGCAACCATCAGAAAGATCACGAGTCAAGGCATATAGTACCCCCAGAAAAAGTCGAATGATATGCGAGTTATTTAAGCATTTCAAAAAATGTGTGTATTTGTTTTCAATTGTCTTACTAATCGTAACAATACGTTATGTAAATGTAACGTAATGGAAATACATAGACATATATACATTACAGTTTCTAAATATAACAGCCAAACGGAAACGCCAATTATTTTGCTTATTTACACAGAAAAGAATTCATATAAACATAAGTGCGCAAACCCTTCGTTTCCGATGTTCGAGATGTAAATTTGTCTATTGAAACTATTGAGACTTCAGTTTACTAACGTTCCGGGGTTCTCAAAAAAAGCATCCCTTTTATTTTGGTGGCGCCGCGAAATAATAAATCTATTTGCCGGTAGTATTACCAAATAATATAAAATCTAGAACAAAAAATTGGTTGCTCCAGAATATGGACTGTTGGAATTCACAACTTCTATAAATCTTCAAGTATTTCGCTCAGAAATACTAAACGCTTGTGGGAATCTGCACAGTTATTTTGTCAAAGGATTTTCTTTGAAGTCACTTTTCCGCCAGTGGCATATTTTATGTGTGCCTTAGGTATACTTTAATACAAAAAACCGGTGTTTCGATCGAATAGTCCGAGTATGTTTTTATTTTTTCACACACTGCAAACACCACAACAAAAACACCATTCATTATTTATTAAAGTTCTTACGTATATTTTGAAAAAAATATATAATAAATTTATGTATTTTAGTTATAAACGAAAATATATGTAGTTATATTTAATTATTGTTTTAACTTAACTTAACGCCTTTATAAAGTATTGTGATCAATTCTGATCAGTTTCTATACGTAATATACAGAGTAGAAAGAGACAAAACCAAATCCAATTCTATCAGTAAACAAGATTAATCGAAATACGAAATTGTATACATAAATAAAATATTTAGGAAAAGCAATTAAGATGGAATTTAACACCAATTTGTTACTTTAGAATTGAATTGTTTGCTTATTAGAAAAACGATTCCGTAATTAATAATCTATATTAAAGTGATAAAATAAAGCACAAAAACTCGCCGATTTCCAGGTGCAAAATATTACTTTTCATTAGATCAATTGTATAGTGTTTTCCAATTTCTCTACTACATACGGGAATTTCGTATGGTCTGAAGCAGGATTGGTTCATTTTTATTAGAATGCTAGCTAAACAGTATATTAAATGTTTCAAAATTACTAATCGTGATATGACATTCCTCTATATTCTACTGCGTTTATTTCAGCAGTGCATCCGGACTTCATACAATTTCTACCTAGAAAATATTCGGGCCATCGAAAAATCGTATAAATCCAAATATCTCTATGTGGAAGAAACGACATTTGCAGGCATAAATCCAGCCTCACCAAGTACTCTTAAAATGCATCTGCCACTAGGAGTTATTGTTATCCAAGTTATGCTGGCGTGGTAGAGACTCAAACGAAGCCACGCTTCTGCCGGTACTTGCAGAGCCCTAAAGGGAATAATCCAGTTGATCAATCGGTTTTGTGATAAACAGAAAAAGTTGAAACGCACCGACACACCAAATACCTAATAACGTTTGCGTGACACACAATAATGTGATAGGAGTCTTCTTGCTGATTGGGATCAGCTCGATGAAAGTATTTTCGGAATGCTGCCTCAATCCTGGCACCGTCTTCAAAAAACTTCTTAAAAAATTAATTATAATCAAATATTGAGCATTTTTTCAATTTTGAAGGCAAAAATACACAGGTAGAAAAATATGTTTGCTTAGACATGATATAAAATAATTTAAACAAAAACTACTTACATATCTTTCTGGTCTGTATGAACCAATTGGCGGTTCTGGGGGAATTGGTGCGCCTTCTCTGAGCAAATCGCAGTGCTGGACAGGCACCTGAGAAGATCACCAAACGAATGTTTTTAGAGAACACGGTCTAGTTTTGCCTCCACAGTTTTATTAATGCCATATACGTAAAGGCATATAACTTACTTTTGGTAGAAACTGCGAAATTAATGTTCCAGTCTCTTGCGCTCTAGTCATCGTTGATTTCACCATATCAGTGTAGGGTAAACCAAGCTCCAGTAGTCGTTTTCCTGTGTATTCAGCTTGAAGTCTCCCTGAGAGGATTCATTTGAACAATTAGAGAAATAAAAAGATCTGGAACGAAACCAATTGCGATTCTTCTTGTAATTCGAGAAAATCACTCAAAGTTCTTTAATTGGATTAATATTACAATTCGGCCTGCAACTTCATGAAGGCTAAAGAGAAATTGGACAGTTTTGCCTCTCGCTTTTTAAATGTTCAAAAGATTTGACAAAATTTAATGAATTAAAAGCTGTTTTCGAAGAGCTAGCGAAAATCTCCGAATGTTCATTGAGATTTAATTTTAACCGTATCCACTATATGATCTTGAAAAATCGTGAAAATGTTAGTTTTTCTACAATAAAAGCCTGACTAATTGCAGTTAATCCTAATCCGTGACATATCTAGATGGAAAAAAATAATCATATAATTTCAGCCGTTTCCGAAACAAAATCTTTCGAAAAAGTTGGTTTCCTACTTTTTAAAGAACCCTTTTGAAGTTACAAATTTCTGACAAAACTTATTTAGTTAAAGAAAGTTCTCCAAACCTGCTATCGAAAAAATTATAAGTGCTTGGGTTTGTTCAAGTGGTTCTGTTTTTTTATTGTTGCTATTTTAAGGTGTTGAAACAGCAATTGTGAGAATTGTACTGCTCTGGCCTCCTTAACGGTTAGGAATTTCCAACAAAAAATATTTAGTAAGTCGTCTCGGGACGGAAGATTGAGAATATTTATACATCGACTATATTTTAAGAGAGCGTTTTAAACTTTGATTAGTCCCAAAATTGAGGATTTCACGGTCAAAATTTTCTTTCATTAATAACTGACTGTAATCACTCACCCAGCTTGGTAAGATATCTATCCTGATCAGTTTGTCCATCTAAATTATATTGCCCATGCCTGACAAGAATTATGTGCCTGCACGTCTTTGGTGTGTATTTTTCAATATCTTCGTTATTATTTTCATCTTTTTGAGACAATTTCGTTTTCTTGCTCCTAATAAACTGGGGTGCTCGACTGTAAAAAAAATAAAATTTGCAAATATCTGTATGTACTGGATTTATATGTTTTTAATTATACAGTCATGAAAGTAATTGCTTAGCACACTAACTACATAGTTAATTCCTGAAGTAAAAAAATGATGATTTGACCCAACTTAATGAAAAAGCTGGCTGTGGTCGATATACACGCAGCCAAAGTTACACTTTTTATTTAAATTATATTTGGCTAAATTTGGTCTTTTAAACATAATAAATTCAAATCCGCCATAAAGTCATCAAAAAGCCACCTATGACAATAACTATGTAATAAATTTATTGTCTGATAAACTGTTTGAAATGGCCTTAACAGTTTGATCCACTGAGCTTTCAAAATACCTCCATTTTTGTTAAATTAATTGTACACAAAAACATATTCTTGGTTGACATCGTTTTCACTATATTAGCGGCGAAACGGCAAAATTCAGATTGATAAGAAAACTACAGTGAATTTAAGTAAAGTGACTACAGCATTTACGTTCACATACAAGTTCCTCTTCGCTTTTTAGAAAATCCGAAAATAAGCACAAGATGAATAGAAACTGCCATGGGCGTAAGGAAAGCATCAAGCATAATCTTAATATTTACCATAATTTATTTCCTAAGTTAAAATTCGAAGAAATAGCAGTGTTCATATTATATCAATCATAATCTTTACATAGACATTGATTTAATAATGGAACAATATACGTACTGATCCCAATTGTCGTTCCATTTTGCACATGGAGAAGGCTCATAATTGGAGGTCCATGACATAGAAGCTGTATATTTGTTCTTATTCAAATAGTAAAATACTGATAATCCAGAGGCAGCAGCCCCAAGGCCAAGGAAAATTCGTTTACTATTTCTAAAGCCCGTCATCTAAAGCGATTCAAGATCAAATTACTTAAGGGACGTTTTAATTGATTTATATTTTACCTTTTAAAATCCTCACTACTTGATCAAGATCTATAAAAGTTCAACGTAAGTTCTAGCAAGTAACTAAATGAGTTTTCATACAAAACTAAGCATTGCTGATTTCGTATATTGCTAAATCATTAAGTTTTCGAATGAACATCATCACATCATTGTGCAAACTAACCACAAATCACAGTCAGAGCATATTAAAAAATCGAATATTTAAATAGCATTGTCAAATTGACATTAAATTCATAGATCATATCATATATCATAATTAATTTATTATACTCTACTGTATTATATTTATTGATAATTTAATATATAAATGTGGAAAAGACAGCAGAACTATTAGTTCTTTTGAACCTGAAACATGAAAATGATTTCTTCAACACTGACAATAAATAAGCTGTCAACCTAAAAAGGCAAGTGTTGTGAGTTATTTTGAATTACTTGTGTTATTATAATTTATTTTGCTTGGAAAATTCTGATTTTGAATTTGGACAAGACAAGCAGATAGAAATGGCTGCCTCAACTCAGCACAATCTTGCAAACATCATAAAAACTATCCACAAGAAATTACGTGAAGATTCAAAAAGTATGGGCGCTGAGCAGGCCTGGGACAGGCACTTAAAGGACCAGGAAACTCTAGATGAATACTCAGCAACTATGCAGGAGCTTGCCCTGAGTCACTGGGACAAGAATTCCTTGAGTGACCAAAAAGTTGTGTCTAGAATAGTGTGGACGTTCACAGCATGTCAAGATTATTTTGAAAATATTGATAAATTCAGAAGAAAAGAGCTGGATATTGCGAAGAATAATTGCCAGGATAAAGAGGCGATACCAACAACATCCAGTGGTGCGGAAAAGGCCCCGAAATATCGACTGCTGGATGTCGGAAGTTGCTATAATCCATTTAAAATATTTGAAATATTTGAAGTTGTCCCCTTGGACATAGCCCCAGCCAGCAGTGAAGTCTTGCATTGTGATTTTACAAACGTAAAAGTAGGTGATAATTCAGTTATAACTGGCAATAGAGTAAAACAGCTGGAAAAGGAATGGTTTGATATAGTGGTATTGAGCTTATTGCTGGAATATTTGCCAAGCCCTGAACAACGACTTAAATGTTGTATAACGGCATATAACCTGCTAAAGCCAGAAGGTGTTCTAGTAATCGTAACTCCCGACTCAAATCATGTGGGATCTAATGCAAAAATATTTAAATCCTGGCAATATGTCCTAGCCAGACAAGGATTTGTTAGAGTTAAGTATGAAAAGCTGCCTTACTTGCATTGTATGTTATTTAGAAAAGCCCAGCTCAAAGTTGTAGCTGAAAGATGGGCTACTGTGCATGAGAGCAAAAATTTCTATAAACAGATATTTATTCCTCAGGATTTTACAGAAGCAAAAACTGTAAAATCTACTGTATGTAACAAATTTTTAAATCAGTGGGAGACTGACAATTTTTTGGGAGAACTTGATTGTAGCGTTGCAGAATTAATTTAATATTTTAAACAATATTCAAATTTTTTAAATGTTAAAAACATAGGGCTTTCCACCATCGCTTGCAACGTTGCTTTTACTTAGTTGCGTTGCTAGGTGCATCTGGCATCGTTAATGTGATTCAATCACAATATTTTGCATTTCAAAAGTTAGGTTAGTGACAGTCTTGCATAATGTAAAGAAAACTTTAAACATGTATTAATTGGACCTTTTGCTAAGTATTTAGACCTAAATTTTACATAGATTTATACATATTTTTACTAATTTATTTAAATGCAAAGACTGTCACTACAATTCTGAAAAAAGAAATGAACTACAAAATGTCATTGTTTGTTTTATCTCAAGTCCGAAAAATCTGTACAAGCCCCCTAAATCAAAAGAACCACTATGAATCCCTGGGTCTGGGAAAGACTGCGACTCAAGCAGATGTAAAAAGTGCATATTATGAGTTGTCAAAGATTTATCACCCAGACAGAAACCAAGGGACTACCGCCGATCAACGAGACAACCATTCGCAAAAGTTTAGAGATATTACAGAGGCTTATGAAGTGCTAGGAAATGTAAAAACAAGGAGAATGTATGATAAAGGTATGCTGACCTCAGTTTAAGTAATAGTTTCAATTGGGGGTCAGGAGGAATAAAGAATTGCAGATTAAAAGGACGTCTAGAAAGTAGCCAACTTTTCTATACAAAGCTAAATAAACAGTTTGAGGCTTTTTTACTTTGAATTTGAGTCGTACAGTAGATGTACGTACTCTCCGTATTTGGGACGCTAAAATGTAAAAATTAACCACCTGGTTTGATTTAAAAGGAAAAAATATATACAGATTCTTTCATACAAATGAATGGAATAAGCATTGTTTTCTCAGGTTTCATTTTGCCGAAACCCACATGCCCGTCGTTAATATTTTTGTAAGTTTATGTGTATATGGTGGTCCAAAAATCAAAGCCAAGACCATCAACTTCTGCTTTCAAATGAAAACTGTTTTTTTATTTCATTTTTGAATTCTGCATCTACTGAATTCGAAGTATATTTATGTATCAGGTCCTTATCTAAACTAAACAGTTAACCACAAAATTGCGATTGAACATATCAATATCACACTTACAAATACCAGAAATAGTAATACAGTAATTTAATGTAACATTTATTCGTTAGTGTGTTGCGATTGAAGTAGTAGTTTTCAATGAAGATTGAGGCAATTATACGAATAATGAAGCGCTTACTGGTTATGATTGACTACGGAAACAGAGTAAGAACTGTAAGAGAATGTGTAATTTAATTAATGGTGTATTCTCTAACCGAAAACTCGTTTCTGCAATCAATAATTTATTTGAATGAACTTTAGAATGAGTTGTGAAATACCCGCCTTGTAAAACTCCCCAAAAATGGTGGAAATATCATCACAAAACCAAAAAATCGATGCGGTTCTTGCAAAACAAATAATAGTTAACATATATATACTACATATTCAAAATCACAGCAACAAAGATAGTAGAGAAACATTTATTCAAACGGAGCAGCTTTATATTCAACGTTCAGTTTTAAACAATTTTACTGAACAAACTGTTTGATGTAAAAGTCTTTGTTATTGATCTGTGCAATCGTAAATCCCTCGATAATTATTAAGTTGATGTGTACAATTAGATAGAAAAATTAAAATAAAAACAAGCAGCTTAAATTATTTTAGGGAATGTAGCTATACGTGAATTTTGCATCAGAAAAAGCGCAGCCAAAAATAAAAATACACAGCTAAATCTAAAATCAACTTATTCGATACATTTCCACGATACGAATAACTGTTTCCATTTGAAATTGCGCCACAATTGTGATAATGCTGAATATAATAAAAGCCGCTTCTCTGATAAAAGAATTTCCTCCAACATTTTAAGCATTTGCAAAAATAATACGAACATAACGATGATAAATTAATTTGCCTCTTTTAAAAACTGATGAGTGTAATTGATTAGTCTTCCAAATGCCGTAAAAAAATACTTTCTCTCGATTACAGTTCTCTTCTTTTTCTGCTCTGATTTTTGTCAAATATTCTGGGCAAGCTGTTTGATTTAGAGGGCTCAGGGTATGCAGATTGATAAGAAGTGGAGAATTGCCCCTATCTCAATTTTCACAGGATCATAGACTTTGTCACAAAGCGAAAAGTGTGTGTGGTTGTGATAGACTACAGTTTTGCTATGATTTTTTCAAATACTCTTGAGTTAGCGTTTGAATTGATGAGCTCGGGATTTGCGTGCTTAAAAAATATAATTATGGCAGATTAGATGAGATTTTTAGATAGATAGAATTTAGAGAGATTTTGATACATTTTCAGCGTCCACAATATATATTTAAAATTTGGTGAAAATCACGGCATGTTTTAATATTCAATTATATTTATCATTTAAGGTTACTTGAGCCAAAGACCCAAAGAATCTACCGCTCAAAGAACACCTGATGATCCATTACACAACTTTTACAAATCACGCGAATCGCGAAAAAGAACACCGAACGTTGATGGTCGACAACCAATCTACAATTTTGATGAATGGTCTCGTAATCATTATGGAGACTCAATGCGCAAAGCGCAAGAAATGAAGCAAAGAAAAGCGTTTTATGATAAGAGAGCGGACGATGAGAGCAGCGCAAGGGAGTTCGAAGTTCGTTTCTACGGATTCCTTCTCTGCGTCTTTGTTTGTATGCTATTAAGAGAATTTTATCAAGCAGTAATGTCCCTGAAACCGAAAAAAACATATGCACCTAGTGACAATTGATGAATATGGTCTCTAGCTTAATTCGTTTCATTAAAATTAACGCGAAGGTAATAAATATGTTCACTTTCGGTTTCTATTGAATTATAGACAAATAATACAAATCTATTCAAAATAAATAGTAACCATATTTAACTTGACAGAAATATTAATATTTTGATTCACCTGAAAAAGCACTAATCCATAAAAAAATTGTGAATTTAAATAAATGTTTTTGTGCATATGTAATACCACATTTTAATGATCTTCAAACAATAGATGTTTTAAATGTGAATAGGTGATGATGACCAAATACATTAAACAATTCGATTGGAAGGTTGCTAATTAAATAGAACAGTGGTTTGTATTTTTAGTGATCTTATACTACGGGGTCTTGTATGTACAGTTGTCAAACGATGTGCCTAGTAAGCATCAAAAACCTCGAAGACCGAAGGCCGAGAAATAATATACTTAGCAGACTGTGTAATGTACTATATTAATTCTGTAAATAAATATTTGTTTAGGACTAATTTGATTTAATTGCTAATTAGTTCTTATTTTCAAGTTGCCGATTTAAAATGATTCATGTAGAAAAGTGAAAATAGGATTTTAGTGAAATCACAGGCAAGAATTTACAAAATACCAACAAATGTTACATATGCATATATTATTGTTTGAAGTTATGCAACCAACATTAAAATCTATTTTACTTTTTAATACGGAACATATATCCTAACATGGCTTCTAAGTGAATAATGTTAATTGAATATTATCTACAATTTATTCATAGTGATTCTATAAAGTAGGTAAATCTCTTTCATAAAAATATGCATTCAATAACAAACGCGCAGTGTCCAAAATATGCTGATCAAATTTTCTTCACAACTATTCGATTTACATTGCTCTACAGTACATAAGCAACGACTTATCTCTAGTCCCTTTAATCAGTTTTTTAGACACTTTATTTTGCGCGATAAAAATGAAAAGTTGTTTAATATAGAATTTTTCAATAATGATTCTGAGGAAAGTTCATTCCAAGAGGAGGTAAAGGCATATTCAGAGGCCCGGTTGGATAAGGCACGCCACCCACTGGCGGAGAACCTGGAGAAACTACCCCCGGAAAGAATCCTCTATTTATATTAACTGGAGGCGCATTTATATAATTGGGCATTCCCAGCCCTATGGATGGATCACCTCTTTGCAATATTTTAGCCAATTTGTCCGCTTTGACTAATCGGGTATGCATCAATTTTCGTTTTGTTTGAAACTCGTCCAGAAAACTATCAAGTTCAATCTCATTATCTAAGAACCTTTTCGCACATTGATCTGATTCCTCCTCCATTTCACTGGCTGCTGTTTGCAGTAAAGCAAGCGCTGTTTCTAAGGAAATGTCGCCTCCTTTGCTTCCTAAAATTTCGCGAAATTTTCAATGTGTCCATCTTTTCATCGTACTTTGACTTACTGAGCTCTGTAGTTTTGTCATCTAACCCTTTCGTCAATCTTTCAACTTCATCATATAAGGAGTTCAATTTTTCCCTTCCTTCCACCAATTCTGGCTCTTTGGACAGGTTTAATTCTGCCAAAGACTTGTTCTGCTCTATAATTTTTTCCTTTTCCTCTTCTAAACTTTTTAGACAGGACTGTAATAAATATTAATAACCAATGTTTACAAACCACGAATGATTAGGTCTTTATTGTTAATGATTGTGTTATTGAAATGGCACCAAATACCTAGATGTATGCATCGTTATCAATATCAAATGGTAATTTAACTAATATAAGAAGTACATTTTGTTTGAAACATCCAAACTTTGAAAACCAGAGGTTTCAAACAGAAATTTGCGGGTAATAGGTACTTCCGAAAATTAAATTCTATATAAACCCAATAAACCTGGGTTCGATTACCAATTTATTTATAGTTTGAATAAAAAAATACTAAATTCTTGCATTATAAGTTATGCTACTGATAGCAGAAATAGTTCACATCTATTGTCCTCTTTTGTAGAACGGGGTCTGTTACTTTTTCTGCAGTATTTTCGGAAGTAAAGTTTGCTGTATCACGTAAAGGTTAACTGGTATATACTAATACAAGTGAAAGTACCAGAGGTCCGATAGATCAAGCAGTAATCTTGGCAGTATGCAAACATAGCAAAAAAACAGCAAATTTGTCCGTTTACTCACATTTTCCATATTTCCAATAATCTCCAAAAGCTTCTCATCATTGTTTAGTACTTCGTCTAATTCTTCGTTAGTGAAATAGGACAATTGTTGCATTGCCTTTTTGGCATTCTCCTGAAGAGCAAGTATAGACATTTCGCATTCTCAACTATCAGAACTTTAATTAAAATTAACAAAATAGCTGATGACTAATAACAATATCCATGAACAAAAATACCACTGACATTAGACAAATGGATAAACACATAACCTTAATTAATCACATATCAAATGTAGGACTCGTTTGAACTACTAAAAATACTTCAATATCAAAGTTTACTTCTACTGTTTGCCAGTTTGGAAACGTCTATGTATTTTGTTATTTTGTTTTATTTTAAAGTTTTGTATATGGAAATTATGGAAAATCTACGACAAGATTACACAATCAAGCCCTTGAAATGGTTACCTGCTTTACCTGGTAAGTGCAGATCAATTTAAGTCGGTAATACTTGTTACGGTAAAATATGTATATTTTTCAATCGTTTTGGGCATTTTAAAATTTCAATTAGTTCAGTTTTACATGATCGTTTACATGACCCATATAATTTATTTTGTAGCATCATTTCTGTAATTGCAGAATTGCAAACTGTGCTGTAAACATTCGTATGTAGACCTACAAAGTACTAGGAAACAATATAAAAACTTGAAGTAGTTACACCTTGGCCTGGGTAACACTGTGTTGAGTTGCGCTATTGAGTTGTTGGCGCTCTCTGAGTTAACGAGTTATAACTCATCGGTTAATCAGTTAAAAATAATTTATCTAAGCTTTACGAGACCCAAGACTGGAATTTTCATTATTTCTGGGTAACGTTTTACTACTTTGTTCAAACAACTAGGAAAAGTAATAAAAAATTAAAAATTCAGTTTGCAAGAATTTTACAGTATAACATTTTTAAAGAAAAACCGCGTGTTTTCTGTTTAGAGATAGCGTTGTTTAGAAATATTGACCTAAAAGTGAAGAAACCCAGTTTCCAAGAGTTTTCCAAAAAAATGTTGAACTTTCCCTTTTTCAGTTCAGGGAAATATTTTTGGAAGACCCAGAATTAATTATTAGGGTTTTGTCCATAATTCTAAGTGGTTAAGGGGGCGAGTGTTCCGATAAAATGTATCTTATAATTTTCACGGAAAATACCTGAAGTGTCAGTATTTTAACTTAAAAATAATGCGATTTTTGCGTAGAAAGAATTGATAATAGAAACTTTATTAAAACTAGATTGACCTGAAAATTTAAAGGAAATTCAGAGCGATGATCTAAAGTTAAAAAATCTTCAGATCGATGAGGGCGGCGAATTTTCCAAATAATTTTTTGTTTTTTGTTTCCAAATAAACTTTTGCTATCTGGTATTTTTTTTTCAAGATAATTTTAATTACTTAGGTAATTTAATTACTCGGTAAAAAACTGAATAAAATTACATATTTGGTGTTTGTGTCAAATTCGAAGCTGAAAAGGGTTTTCTAAAGTTCCCTGCATAAGGCGAACTTTCTAGCAAAATTAATGTTGTCATTTTTGGCTGAAAACACCCCATTATTGTCAGAAAAGACGGAAATCATCAGAAAATAACGGTTTTTTGCATCTTTGCTTAAAACTTTTAGTTTTGTGATCGGTTTAGGAGAAAAGCTTAATGGTATTCGGGGAAAAATGGGAAGAATTTATTTACGTTCTTGTCTGGAATTCGACGCTGAAAAAAGTTTTTGTAAAATTTTTACACAGCTAAAAATGTATCTCGTAATTTTTCGCTTACAAGACCTCCAGATCGTCACTATTTTTAAGTGAAACTCTATAAAATAGAACCTATTTGAGTAGATAGTGAAGCAAAAAAAATTTCAATCAAAACTAAAAAAACACATTTTTTTAACAAACTCTACAGGCTTCAGAGGGATGGAGGTGACGAGATTTCCAGATAATCTGTTATACTTTCGCTTATTCTGTTTTTTGATAGAAAATTATTTGACTTTTGTTCCAAATTCGACGCTGGAAAGGGATTTCAAAACTTTTTACTAAGCGACCAAGGATTGTAAATTTATTTCATAATTTTTCACGGAAAATACCTTAAGTTTGTCAGCATTTTCAAGTGAAAGTTTAGAAAATTGAGCATGAAGAAGAAAGAGTAACTTGGCTAAAACTGGAAAATTCTGAAATTTTGAAGACATTTTAAAAACATTATTAATAAATGGCCCTTAAAATAAATCGTTAAACAAGTAAAAAAAAGACATCAACATTTTCCTAGCAACAGAACTGAGTTACGTGCCGCCGGTGTGCGTTGGGTTGGCGCACCAAGCCATTTGCGTAGCTCTGCGCCAACAAATAAAAATGCCCTGAGTTACCCAGACTTAGTTACACCATACCGCAAACAAGTGATGAATGTAGGCCTGGGTGACACTGTGTTGAGTTGCGCATTTGAGTTGTTGTCGTTCTCTTAGTTAATAAGTTATAACTCATCGGTTAATGAGTTATAACTATTAATAATTCGGTTTATTCGTACAATTTGTGTTGTTTATTAATTGATTGAAAAAGCAGAAATCAGGGAAAAACACTTAGGGCAGCTCAGGATAAAAATAAACACACTGTTGTCGCGGTTAAATGTTGTATTAGACTGAACTTGTGATGATAGTCACACTGAGTGAGAGAGAGGACTTTTGGTACACATTTTCAACAATTTATTTTTTTTTAATCGGAAGAAATGTATTTTAACTTGATAAAACTGATGAAAAATGTTTTTTGATAAAACATCGTTTAGTTTTGTTTGTAGAATGTGTCCAATTGACCCCCCTTGAATGGCTGAAGTCAATAATTTTTTGAACCGACTCAACCAATTGCATATGTTGCTTTCTCTAAAGATTTTATGGTTTGCCTTACAAACTTTAAATTACTTTTAATAAAAGCAAGATTATTGTTCAGTTCTCTGTAATGTTTTCTATAGATACATGACAATCTTGTCGGATCTATTAGTTTTATTTTGAAAATTTTCTTCATATGGCACCGGTACAGGAAGATAAAACTTTGATAAGGTTTTATTTATAAATCCGAAAACTGTTTTGTTATTTGTTGCTTCAAGGTCCTTCGAATAAATTAAATAACATTACCAACATACCCTTGCGTTTACTACAAGCGCTTGTAGTTTATCGTCTACAGTAAACCGAATGCTACGGGTCTCTGGCTACGGTATTGTCGTTTGGATGCATTATTTTCGATAATTGTTGCCGATTAAAGCCACAAATAAACGCAAATAATTTAAATAAGCACAATAAAACTAAAAACGCATTTTGTTTACAATGCTTAACACAAGAATATTGCATCTATTGTTTAAAAAACGCATAATGCCTAGAAATTCGACCTCTAGTTATCAGTGATACATGTTTAGAACGTTCGTGAACTGGAGACCCTGACAATTTCATACTATCACACTGAACTCTGGTTTAGCAACCAACCAACAGCAGACCTGCTGGTCTGGAAAATAATACAATCGTACGACTCTAAGTTCCTTAGGAAATTTTTAAGACCATTTCTTACAGCGCATAGACGATAATCTATCTCCAAGATCACATTTAACTAATCTTGATGGGCCAAATGTTCTGCACTACATGCCCAACTTTCAAAGCAATTTATCAAGTTCTTAAGAGAGCTCCTTTAAATGCATACCTTGAGTCAAAATAAAACTGTAGAAGGTTAAAAAAAATGTAGATAGGTTTAGTGTACTAAACTGTGAAATGTATTTGTATATGTATATAAAGTTAAATTTTCTCCTTTCAAATGAAATCCTCAGTGAACTTATGCGTGAATTTTCATAATATTTTCAATCCATTTCTTATAATAGGACACTTTGACATAGACTCCCGGTTTGTTAGCATAGCCGCAACGTTGCCCCCATGATGTTAATCCATATAACGTGAAAACGCCTACGAAATGAAAACAAATAACTAAGTTTTTTTCCTTCAAAAGTTTTATCAATTAAATGTCAATTCTTACCGTTGTCTAAACATGCTAAAGGACCTCCACTGTCTCCATCACATGCATCCACACCGCCACTAAGATTTCCAGCACAAAACATACCATCTGCAATGTTTTCGCCATAGATATGGGCCATCTTACACACGTCCACCTTTTGAACGGGTATCCATGCAGCTCTGAGTTTATGAGAATATGCTGAAAATAATACGAATATTAAATTAGTATTTTTAACAGAAGAATCTCTACAAAGCAAAGGAGCAATATAAAAACAGTGAAGATAACTGGAACAAACATGCTAGGTGGTGTGATGATAGATAGATGTGCAATGGAGGCAGATTAAGGAAACAGAACAATTTAAGAAAGCACTAATACATATCAAAATGAAAGCAGATGTTAGGAGGAAGGCGCTTCTTGAATAAATGAAAGTTCTTAAGGTCCATAGGCCTGTTGAAATTAACTACCCAAAATTTCTTGTGTTTGCAATAAAATAATAAGTTTTTTTTTCAGTTGCTTCTTGTCAAGCATATTCAGGAACCAAAAATTAATTATATGTCTAAAGACGTTAAAAATGACTTACTGCTTTACAGGTAAAAAGTTTGAAGAGCATAACATATCTCTAATAGATGTATATTTATTTACTTAATTTTATTACTATTTTCAACTAACGCGCTACAAAATTCTAATTCCGCATCCAGTCCCAACGAGTCCAGCTCAAGTCGAGTTTAATCGGCGGCAAATTTTGGGTAACTCAATACGTTTTTAATAGTTGGCGCAGTGCTATGCAAATGGCGTGGTGCGCCAACACAACGCACCGGCGCAGTAACTCAGTTCTGTTGCTGGAAAAATGTTGATGACTTTTTTTACTTGTTTTTAGATTTATTTTAATGGCTATTTATCAATAATATTTTTAACATTTCTTCAAAGTTTCAGAATTCTCCAGTTTAAGCAAAGTTGCTCTTTTTTCTAAATGCTCAATTTTCTAAAGATTCACTTAAAAATACTGACAATTTTAAAGTATTTTTCGCGGAAAATTATGAAATAAATTTTATTAGAATATTCGCCTCCTTCGTTGCATTGTAAAAAGGTTTGAAATACCTTTCCAGCTTCGACTTTGGGATAAAAATCAAATATTTTCTATCAAAAAAACGAACAGAATCAGCAAAAGTTTATTATAAATTATTTGGAAAACTCGTCACTTCTATTCCTCTGAAAAAATGTGGCTTTTCAGTTTTAACTGATTTTTTTTTGCTTTGCCTTCTGCTCAGAAACGCTCTATTTTGTACGTTCTGTTTTAATTAAAAATACGGACGATTTGAATACATTTCTTATCGAATCATAGCTTTATTCTTAAACAACATTTAAATTTTAGGGTATAGAAAAATATAATATAAACATATTGTTCAGGATATTTAGAGGCTCACTCATCACTCATTCAACACTTAATCCTGAACCATTCGAGAGATAATCATTTTTGATGGTCGGTCATATTTTTCGCGCGAATTTGATTACTTAGGTAACCTTTTTAACTTGCGAAGAAAATTTCTGCTAATAATTCTATGGGAGCAATAGGTATTTCATTACAAGTTGATAGCTCTGTTTATGTTGTCACTCTCTGCGCTATGTAATAAGTTATTAAAGTTTTTACTTTCAAAACTTAGTTCCTGTTATCGCGCCTGGGGAAATTATTATCGTTTTGTTTCGTTATAGAGTTGCATACGTTTCAAAATAAGCAGAGGTTGACCGCTCTAAGCTTCTAATAACATTTTGTTTGCACCGCCGTTTACTCAATTAAAAAACAAATTCTAAATAAATTTCGCACGGAAAAAGTGTCTGATCAAAAGATGACTATCTCTCAAATGCGTCAAGAAAATCAGACGATTCAAGATCCAAATTACTCAGAATTCGTGAGGCTTTAACGGTGGATACTTTCCTCTTCTTCTCTCTGGACTACTTACAATTGCCGGAAGACAAATTTAAAGTTTGACCCAGAAAACATGGTAGTATTTAAACCCCCTGTGCCAAATATTCATTAAGTACATATGATTTTGCTTACATGATTTCGTCCAAGAATAAAGCTATAATTGTGTGAAAAACTGTTCAGAAAATATTCACAATCAAAGTTAGGGAATATTTAAGTTATGCGTTAAAATTTCGGGACATTGTATATCTCAATTTTATTTACAGCAGAAAATTTGTTTTTCCCGCACGAACGATAGTTACATTTGGAAACACTAACCCTTAAATGATTATATAACAAATCCACTGATGTAGTAACGTTTAAAAAATCACCGATAAAAAGAAGTTGAGTAATATTTATACTATCTACGGACAATCATACCTGATCTTCCATTTTCGATAGATCCAAATCCAGATATAGTGCAGTTTAATTCTCGCTCATAATCTACGTCTTCATCTGGCAAGCAAATCGGTTGAATATCCTGATTCAGTTTGAACCCATTGCCTTTTAGCAGAACCATGGCTATGTCATTGCCCATTTTATGTCCCTCTCTAAATCGTTCGTGAAGATAATATTCTTCGATGAAGGCTTGTTGCTCCGAACCTGTATAAAATTCATTATTTCGGCACTTGAATTAAGGCTTCGTTCATTTACCTTCGTTTTCATCCACATTATATTCACCAGCAACTACAACATAAGCCCCTTTAGGGTACCCTTCTAAACAGTGTGCGGCGGTTAACACCCATTTAGAAGCTATTACCACTGCCCCACACCAATGCGCTGTTTTATCCTGTCCTTTCGTTCTTAGTGCAGCCTGTATAGAAGCAAATTAAAAATTTCATTCCAAAAAAAAATTGGAAATCTTACCTGCCAAGGGTAATCTCCAGGATTTGCAATTGAACCTTTCACTACTCTAAAGTGAACATCATCATGTTCTAAGAAAATTCGGTCTTTCTGGTAACCGCAACTGACTGGTTCTGGTGATGAAGCCCTGTTATCTACAAGAAGGTGGTAGTTATTAGTTGAATGGAAATTGAATATAAAACAAACTCAAGTTTTTGATAGCCCCAGAAAGGCCACCATTGACATTTTTTGAATTCCTCTTTGGCTCAACATAGAGAATATTGCTGCAAATTAGACCAATGTCCTCTTCGTGATCGCAATTGTGTTCCCCCCAGTCCCAGTGAGTGCATTTTTCCAAGCTGCTTTCATTTCCATTGCAGGAAACTTGATCAAGCCAAATAGGCCCTTTACCTACAGAAAAAACGAAATGCAGTTATTTCGCTTTCATTTCAGTTTACGGCTTACTTTTTCCAAAAAAGCCATTCTTTTTTATCACTGCAGAGCCGGCAAAACCCAACTGACTACATGCGATTTTAGCAGCGTCTTCATTGAAGTCGTCATCACATACTGAACCCCATATGCCAAGGTGTCTAACTTCTAGTCTTCCCTCATTAAATGATGTACCATTAACAAGTCGCAATGCAGTTGGTGACTACAGGTCGAAATTTATCAAAAACTCCATAAATTGGGGAATTGAATGCTCTTTTTGTTTTGTTTTTTTTATTCGAAGAATAAATAAATTTCTCCATACCTCACAGTATTGATCTGCTTCATCCGAATTATCAGTACAATCAAATATTCCGTCACACATAAAATTTATATTAACGCATTCGTTGCCAGTGTCGCATTTCCAAAAGCCTTCAGTACAGGTCTCTTGCGGTGTTTTACAAATAACACCTGCAATCTTGAGGAAAACCGAATACAAATTAATGAGATTAATGTGGACATGTTTTACCTCTCGATCTGCACAATTGTGAATTCCCCACCCCGCAAAATTGCACTGCATAAGGCTGGTTTCATTTCCCAGACACTCTATATCGTCCATCATATACAGTGTGTGATGTTCTTGTAAGTCTTTGGCGAAATACGAATTACCTTAAGAAAATAATAGAGTTATGAAATAAAAAAGGGAATAATGATGAAAATAATAGAGCATTGTTTTAGTGTTTTTATTGTATGTGGAGAATAATTTGAAATAACATTTTTTAAATATCTGAATCTGCATTTTTGTTTTTTGAACTGTTTTTTATAGGAACAAAATTAGAAATAGCTGAATTTTTTATATGCGAATATTTACGAGTTCTTTACATTTTTTCTTGCAAAATTTATGGCTTGTTATTTTTTAATACTTTTTTTCTATTAATGGATAAAAGTAAGCCATGGTCAATCTTTGTTCATATAAACATTTTTCCATAAAGTAAACAGAGAAAAAACATTATCTGCTAGCCAGTGTTGACTATTGAGCCAAAATTTCAATATTATCTAAATATCTCAAAATACAAAATGATGTCTTATGAAACTAAAATTTACCTTTCACTTCCATAGCTCCAAATTCAAATCCTAGTTCCTTACATAGAACATTTGCATCCACAATATCGAATTGATCGTCGCAAATATAACCAGTCTTTCCAAATACTGAAAAGGGACAAATTTAAAATTTAAATGATTCATAAATACCTACACTCTAAAATGCATTTTTATATTTGAACTACGTTCTCTATGCATTGAAAGTAATATGTGCTTGTTTATTAGTAGCTTAAATGTCGAGCTCATCAATTTTTACAATATTTATTACTAGATCATCGTGAGCATTTTACGTAATTTTTAACGGCTTTAAMTTATTTTATCTTTGGGCTGGCGATKGTATGTAAATTTATTTTACCTGAAGATTGGGTTTTTTGTCAAATTCGAAGCTAAAAAGGGTTTTTYAAAGTTTCCTACAAACCGATGAATGAGGCGAATTTTCTAGCAAAATACWTTTTTCAGTAATTTAAATTAATTTTGGGCTGAAAAGACCCCATTATTGTCAGAAAAGAAGAAAATCTGCAAACAATAATGTTTTTTTTTGCGTTTTTGATTAAAAACTCTTAGTTTTGTGATCGGTTTTTGACAAAATCTTAWTAATTTTCAGGAAAAAACAGTAGAAATTTATTTTTGTTTTTTTCCCGAATTCGACGCTGAAAAAAGTGTTACAAAGACATAGAAATTTTTCGCGTAAAAAACCTCCAGATCGTCAGTATTTTAAGTGAAATCCTACAAAATAGAGCGTTTTTGAGTGGAAATTAAAGCAAAAAAAATCTAAAAGCACTAAAAAACCACATTCTTTTAACAAGCTCGACAGCCTTCAGAGGTATTGAACTGACGAGTTTTCCAAATAATTTATTATAAACTTTCGCTGATTCTGTTCGTTTTTTGATAGAAAACTGTTTGATTCTTGTCCCAAATTCGAAGCTGGAAAGGGATTTCGAAACTTTTTACAATGGGACGAAGCAGGCGAGTATTCTAATAAAATTTATTTCAAAATTTTTCGCGGAAAATACCTGAAGATTGTCAGTATTTTTAAGGAAAACTTGAAAATAATGCGTTTTTTGCGTTAAACAAAAACAGAATTGCTAAAAAAAAACTTTGAAATTTATTTTAAAGAAACTTAAAATTTTTAGAGCGATGAGGGCGACGAGTTTTCCGAATTATTTGTTGTCAACTTTTGCTCTCTGGTCGTTTTTTCAAGATAATCTTAATTACTTTCGGTGAAAAACTGAATAAATCTATTTGGTTTTTGTGCCACATTCGAAGCTGAAAAGGGTTTTCTAAAGTTCTCTGTAAACCCATGAATGAGGCGAATTTTCTAGCAAAATAAATTTTATCATTTTTGGCTGCAAAAACCCCATTAATTGTCAGAAAATTACATTTTTTTGCGTTTTTGATTTAAAACTTTTAGTTTTGTGATCGGTTTTTGAATGTGGTGAATTTATTTTCGTTTTTGTCCCGAATTCAACTTCGCGTGAAATATATCCAGATTGTTAGTATTTTTAAGTAAAACTACAAAATAAGTCGTTTTAGAGTAGAAAGCAAAGCAAAAAAAATTAGTTAAAACTAAAAAACCACATTTTTTTAACAAACTCTACAGGTTTCAGAGGAATGGAAGTGACGAGTTTTCTATATAATGTATTATAAACTTTCGTTTATTCACTTGGTTTTTTGATAGAAAAGTATTTGATTTTTATCCCAAATTCGAAGCTGGAAGGGAGTTCAAAACTTTTTACAAAGCGACGAAAAAGACGAGTGTTCTAATAAAATGTATTTCATAATTTTTTTGCGAAAAATACCTTAATCTTGTCAGTATTTTTAAGTGAATCTTCAGAAAATTGAGCATTTAGAAAAAAGAGTAACTTTGCTGAAACTGGAAAAATCTGAATTTTTGAACAAATGTTGGTTTGGCGCACCAAGCTATTTGCGTAGCACTGCGCCAACTCCTAAAATCTCATTGAGTTACCCAGGCCTATAACGAACAACTAGTCGTCACATTTAGCGCAAAATTTAAAAAATCTTTAATAAAGCATTTGTTGGATACAGTTTTTACAGGATGATTCCCGTAGTACGTAAGTACTTTGACAAGCTTTAGGACGTGATTGCTGGCATTGTTTTATGTTAAAAACTTCTAATAGATATAGGCCCTCATTTATAATCGTTACGAAAGTGCAGGGTGATAAAGTTTTATAAAAACACATAAAATCTATCACTAAATCCGAAACCATTCGAGTGGCCATCCATGTATCTGTATTGATTGCAACATTTTTTGTCTCCACCAGTGAAGCGCATACCGACAAGACGTTCAATATTTTTGAAGAAAAAAATGGTGCGCCACTGATTTATCGAAAAATGAATTACGCCCTTTTAATGCTTGTTTAATTTCAAAAAAAATATCTTTAGTTATCTTCGTAAAACGCATTACTTTACAGATTTTTTTTTAATCGCATTAATTTACGTCTTACCAACAGTAATTCTAAATTCAAATTTCAAATTGTTGACGATTGATTCTAATAATGATACATTAAAATACCTCAAGCGGTTTCGGATATGTTAATACCTATAATTTTATGTTTTTTAACAAACTTGAGCACCCTATATTTTCGTATCGATGCCATTGAGGACTTTCATTTATCAGAACTTTTTTCTTAAAATACTGGCCGCATCCACCTCCCGAAGTTTGGGGAAGTGTTGGAAAATACCCTTCATAGCAATCTAACATTCAGTATCCGGCCAAAACAAAATCCTCTAAAAGCTCATTCTTATAATAAATGTATATAGCTTTTTTCGTTTCTACGTAAGATTAAGATAATTTCAAATACCTGTAACTTCGACTCGACCTTCATGTACACTTTGTCCTTTGGATAGCTTAACACTATATCCAAAGTCCTCGGCTCTACAACTCTTTTCGTCAGCTCGATCTCCACAGTCGTCATAACTTGAAAAGCAAGTAATCCACAAAGGTATTGACTTAACTGCTAATTACGTTATTAAATTGCTTACCCGTCACATATTTCCTCCGAAGTTAGACATTTTCCATTGGGGCATTTATGCATATCTGAACAGCTGAAAGATGTACTTTTTCGCTCGTAATAGTCACAGGGGTAGTAATCTTTCAAGGCGCCACTGGATCCAATATTTTCATCTGTTAGGAAGCATGCTTTATCCGATCTCCTAGCAGAGTAAAGGAGAAACTTTGCATTAAAATAACTGCGGGCGTAAACATTCCTTACTGATTTTTACCTATAGTTGAAGGATTTGCAATTAATCTTTTCGTTGTCCAAACACATTAACGCACAGGTGGCGAATGTAACATTCTCCCATTTTTGCTTCTCCAAAACATCTAATCTAGAACTATTATGCTGTTTAAATTCGTCCAAATACTTCTGGCAATATTTTTCATCTTTGCCATCGTCGCAATCCTAAAACACGCATGGTTTTCCATCTTAAGGAACGAACAACTACTTGTCTTTTTTGGTTCATACTAGCTCATTATTTTCCACTATATTGTATACTACTCTGACAAAAAAATAATATCATAAAGTGTGATTGCTACTCTCATTATCAGCTTTTTCGATGTGCCAGTACTTACTCGTTCTCCATCACAAACAAAGTTTTTAGCAATACAGGTTCTCTTATTGCACATAAAATCACTGCTTCCGCATTTAGACTTTTTTCTTTTCTCAACGTGGACATTTTCTGGTGCTAAAGTAACAGGTTCGCCGTCTTCATACTCAAAAACATAATCAGCATTGGGATCAGTAACCGGAAAATCTGGGTACGGTGGAGGCCAAACTTGTTTTTCAGTTTTTGCTGGAGATTTTTGAGTTGTTGCATAGGCTATGTTTTTAGACTCGCTTGGGTCGAAAACATCTACATAATCAACTTGTCTTTGGTTGTTAAATCCGGACGAAGTTTTTCTATCGTCTTTCCGAATCGGTTCTGTTTTTTGATTGCTCTGTTTTGCTGGAATTCGCATTATATGTCCGTTTGCTTGTACCCAAGTTGGCTGTTCTGTATCACAAACCAAAACAATTAAATTAATATTATTATTAATAGAAGAAGCTTTATAAATATTACGTGTTGTAAATATTACTGTCTTTGGAGTAGTTGGAAGGAAGAAACCTATGTTTGCTTGATCAACTTGCACTTGTCCATCTACGCGTCGATTGTTAGAAGAACATTGATTTCCAACGCAATTGCCTGCAAATTCAATTGGAGATTTCTAGTTGGTCCCACCAGCATCATTATCGCACAAACCTTGACTGTTATAGTTTTCTGGTTGTCTTATTGGGTATATCAGAGCCTTTGCAGTAGTTGGTTTGTAAAACCATGGGCCTTGAGCTTGAGCCTGATTGGTCCATGGTGGGTAATTTGCAGTACATTGCTGCCCTTGACAAGGAGCCTGATCTATGTTGATTTTTCAAATAAATCACTTATTTAAAAAAAACGGTTTAGAATCACAGAGTCATTATACCTTGAGTGGATGATGGTGTGGTGGAACCTTGAAGGACTTGAGAATCTCGTTCTAATAAACACAATTTAATCGTTTCAAGCCTTTGCAAATTATGGTGTTATTTAAATAATTTAATTTGGGGTTTACCTTGATTTGATATACAGCCATACCCTTGGCAAGGATTGCCATTATTTCCTTGATTAAAGGGGTTGTAACCACATTGAGATCCCTGGCATTCACTTGGATGATAACCGTTTTGGTGAGTGTTGCTATTTTCTTGCCCTCTTGAGCAACTTTCGCCGTAACATTCAGTATCTCCTAGAATTGAAAATTCCCTATAGAGCAATTACGAGAAGAAGATTCCTGTATATTGAAAAGCTCCTTTTAAGAAATAAGGCTTGGTTTTGTTTATTTAGTGTCTTGCTTCGATTGAGACAAAAAGATGCCTTTTAATTTACATGAGAGATCAAGTATAATTTCAAATGTTTTTTGAAATAGAATTGTGTTAAATATTAACTGTTCAATTGTTCAAAATTGAAAAAATGTTCTGTTTCCACAAAAGCTACCGGAGAATCGAAAAAATATATTTTTACTTATGCCTTATATTAAAAAAAATAGTTATAGAAATACAGGCCAGCACGTTCACGTTTAGTAAAGATATGATTGATTATTTATTGGATATTGGAAGTCGCAAAACACAAAATATAAACAAAAATACTAATCTTATTTGTTTCCACTTTGCTATCAGAAATTGCCAATAATTGTATGTCCTGAGGCTATCTGCTTTTAAATAATACGTATAATACTTAAAATAAATATAAATAAAAAGTTGAAGGTAAGTTTCAACTGGACGATTTGAATAATTCTATTCAACAGTCCATTCAAAAATTAAGCACACAATTTTCATTATAATTTCGTAGCGGCAATAATTGCTACATAGTTGAACTAATTACGCTACTGCGTTATCAAAAAAGCATTTTGTGAAAGGGGTGATTGTGAAATGTTTATTGTTTTATTTATTCTCACCTTACTACTATACAGGACGGTTCCTTAATATTGTAACCACATGTTCTATACCAAAAAATTCATTAACATGTCAAACGAACGGTGGTTTTTTAAAGCCTGGTCACGCATTTAGAACACAAATACAAATCGAAAAGTTTTATGATGAACAATTATATTCCTTGTGCTTCTGAACCATTGAAAGTGTTTTCCTGTACGTTTCTATATATTAATTAAAAAAAGTTGAAAAAGTATGTTATAAGAAAAATCTTTGTACGCTTCTATATTGTCTTCAAATATATGAAACGCAAATATATAAATGCAATTTGGAGCAGCAATATATTGCATTTGTGCGCTGTCCATTTTTGCGATTGTAAAACTTCGATCGATTGTTTAGAATCAAAAAATTGTCGAAAGTTTAATTGTTTTATCAATAAAAATTACTATTATTTTAAAACCTGCCCATTCTATGACAATTTGCTAGCTGCCTTTTTATTTATATTTTGTGTCGTTTAGCAACAATTGATTTTTTATTTTTTAGCAAACTTGAACGTCCCGGATTTCCTTAAGAAAACTTTTTTTGAATATAATTTACATCGAATATAATTTGCGTCGGGCAGATTCTTCTGTTGAAACTGGACCATTATGTACAGTTCTATAATAATATGTAAAAACTCAATGTGGTTGGAAAAAATAAAGTTTTATTAAATTAATAAACCTAATTTTTCAGATTTTAAAAAATATAGAGAAGCGTGGCATTAAATAAATCCTCTGCTAGAACCCACACTTTTTTTTCCAATTTAATTGTATAGAGGGTGTCCAAGATAAGGATGAATTGCTTGGGAATTCTCCGAAACAGAACGAGATAGGAAGTCGGTTGAATTAGAAAAAAAGTCGCGCAATCAGGTGGTTATATATATGGCGTTTTGAAAAAAGCAAGGTTTTCTTTTAATTTTTGAGATATTTAGAAATAAGTGATTTTTCATTTTTCAGGTTATTTAAAATCATGTAAAAAAGCAAAAAAGTCTTTCTCATGGCACCTTTTCGAACTTGAGTGTTGAAAAAAGTTGAAGACGTCTGAAATTTTACCTATTAAGCTGTCTTATTTCAGGATATTTGTACAGGTATAGTTGTACATGGAAAATAGACATCATTTATAAACAAATGTTTATAATTTATAACAAATCATACTATATTATAAACCGTTGAATTCGCTATTAGAAAGCTACCTTATACTTTATGCACGTACTTTTTTGCGGTCCATATCGAAAATAAAATTTGGTGATGGTTTTAAAGAAACGAATCGTTGCAATACATTTTGTAGAGCTCGAAAAGGTGCCATGAGAAAGTACGTTTGTTTCTTGATATGGTTTCAAATAATTTCAAAAATAAATAAAAACAAAAATCCGAAAAATAACTTTTTTCTTAATATCAAAAAATAAAAGCAAAACTTGTTTTTCGAAAATACTAAATTACGCAACTGGTCCCTAATTTAACCGACTTCGTATCTCTTACTGTTTCGGAGATCCCAATGCAATACATCCTTATCTTTGGCACCCTGTATACGTATAATTTTACACAATTTCAATAAAAATTTGTCCAGTATTTGAAAAACAAATATAAGTGTTACCTATAAACTTCCCATCCTGGTCATGATTTGCCTCATCTGGTTCATAATCCACTGTGGTACTTTCACTTTCTTCATCTTTACAATCTACATTATAGGGAAAGTCGCACACACTTAATATTGGATTAAAGACAGTTCCTGGTGCACAGTCTTGAACATATGTAATGCCGTTCGCACAATTCAGAAACTTTTTGCACTTAGTAGGATGTTTCGTGATCCCTTGAAATCCAGAAGGACATTTTGCTTCAGGTGGGGATCGGTTTCTATAGCAGTTACTATCCGCAGCGCTGCAGATTTTCTTGTAGTTGGTTGTAGAGTTACGCGAATGAGCACTTGCTTGTCCAAAAGAATTTCCATAGCTAGAAGAGCCTTGTTTATTACTGTAGGAGTTATCTGGTCTGTAAATCGTATCTGTTGCACAGTTTTGATATTGCGGATTACAAGGTTGCCTTCCAGATAATTGATTGTTTCCAAAGCCTTGTTGTTGATTCTGTATTTGAAGAATATTACCTGGATGTGTTTGGCTGCAATCTTGATAGACAGGATTGCAAGGTTGTCCCGACTTCCCATGTGCCCCAGAATATTGGCTCTGACCGCCAGTACTAATAGAAGACTGAACATTTCCTGCCCCTCCGTAAGATGCCTCAATAACTCCTTTTTGGTATTTAGAGCAATCTTCTTGTAAAGGACTGCACTGAACATACTTTATGTAGTAAGTACCAGGCAAAAGTTCCGGAGCCGCATGACCGTTACTTGTAGCTGGCATGTTATTTGTAGGGACATGAGTAAAGTGTCCGCATTGTTGATTAACCGGATCACATAAAGCCCCTTTTGGTCCCAACACATAAGTACCTTGTTGGAACTTCGAGCAATCTTGTACACTTGGGTTGCACATTACATATTGAATAAATACCCTGTTAGCGGATGGTGCAGGTTGTGGTCTGAGATTATTTTGGGTACTTTGTTGACAATTTTGTACAAATGGGTTACAAGGCTGGCTTTGAGGCGTAGATGCAGTATAGGTGGAAGAATATGTGCCTCCAGTAGGATCTACTCCGGTTTTTCGATGCATGTCATAAATGTTTTCTCCAGATATCACATAACCGCCTGATTTGCAGTAAGGATTTGTAGGATCGCAGCTAGGCTTACTATTAGCTTGGCCATAAACAGAATTTAATTGATTTTGATTGAGTAGGAAGCCTTGTTGAGCCCAAGACTGACCAAAATGTGCATTAGTGTGCATTCGATTTTGTCCATGACTCTCACTGAACCCCCGATTATATTGCCCTCTATTCGGACTGTACTGGCCACTAAAATCTGCACTTCCTCCAGATTGTTCTGCAGTTCCGTAAACTGATGATTGACTTTGCCCTGAAAAGCAGTTCGTTTCCTTGGCATGGTTGCAAACATTTAAGTTGGTATCGAAAAGAGTTCCTGGCGGGCAATCCTTAGCTGTTTCTATCCCGTAGTTACACTCAATAAATTTCGAACAGTCTGTATAATTCGGAATGAGCCCAGTAAAATCATTCGGGCATTTGGCTTGGTGTAAAGTCTGTAGTTTGGCTGATTTTTTTAGAGTGATAGCACTACCCGTGGGACCTGGAATAATGGAATTTTATATTGATGGTTTTAAAATTGACTAAACTCAGAAGCGTTAAAGCACTTTGATAGTTAAATTTGAATAAGGAAATATCTGTCTATGATTACGTTACTGTTTTATGTTATTTTCTAAATTTTGCTTTTAAAATAATTTAATTTTTATGTGAACCGAGATGATTGGCTAAAACGCGTCAAAGGTGTTTCTGCATGAGTTTAGCGATAAATAGAAAATCCAATTAGTTTGCAGCAATTGATGTACTACATATTTTTCAAAATTAAATATCTTTTGATTCTTCTGGAAAGAACAACTTTTTGCTTGAAAATTGCGATGAACACACTTTTTTTTAATATGAGAAGGGCTACAACAATCGAAGAAGAAATTCTTGTTTCTCACTCTTTTTAACAAAAAAAGTTTTCCATCTTATTAATTATTTTGTGTGAATTTCGATTCTTCTGCAAAACCGACTACTTTCTTATAGCATCTTTTAGTCAGTGTGAAAGCACATGAGCAATTCTATGATTCGGCGTTTCGCTTTTAAGAGACGCTATCATCAACATCGATTTTCATAAATACGGCCTTGTTGGTTTAGTGCCAAAATAAAAAAAAAATTCATTCTAAATTTAATCCTGTTTTAACAGTTAGTTACGTTTTGATCGGTTTCTTAATAAGTCTTCAGAAAATTGTGAATTTGTTGAAATATTAAATATAACTTAATTTAAGTTTTACAGAACACTTTAAATGAATAATAAATGCATTTTAACAATAAGACAAATAACTATTCAATAGAAGAATGCATGTATAACAAAGGTTCAAAACTATTATCTACTCTTGTTTTCTAATTGTTTTGAGCAATTTATCAAATATCAAATCAATTTTGTATTGCGATAGCTTTATTCGCATTCAACGCGAAGACGAGAAATCTTTTCAGAACACTAGTGTTTGATGTTTGAACCCAATTTGCAAAGAATGTGGAAGCAATCATCTTTGAAAAAAAAAAGGAATGCGATTGAAATCAGAGATTCAACGCGAGACAATTTTTTCAGAAACCTTATTCGAATTAAAGACACGATAGAAGTAAAGTAGGAGTTTACTTGTACAAACTATAAGGTAGATGCAATAGGAGAGAAAGACTTTGTCGAAGGAAATTATTTGAATTTCGTGTTTTACCTGAGGCAAAGAATGCAATTGACGAGAGGCAAATGAATGGACTCAAACAACATTTACTGATATCAGAGGAGCAATCGGAGACATTTTCGGTACAAACCGATTCAAAGTAAAGAAAACAGATGAGTCAATTAGCAGTTAGGTTTTAAAGTTAGTTCATAATCATACTTCCGGAAATACCCTCACGAGAAGAAATGCATTTGAGTGATATTGGGTGTATCGTGTTGGTCAGGCCGTTTTAGATATATTTTCACTATTCCAGTTCGCTTCTTTTCTCTAATGGTTCACATTTTTTCAAATATTAATTTAAATCACTGACCAACATGTAAGTGAAAATCAACATGTTATAGTTCGTAAGAATTTTCAGAATTTGTTTGCTATTCAAAAAACAAGACAGTCTTCAAATAATTGATGAGTTATTCGATAAAAACGTCGAAAAACAAACGAATTTTCTTATCTTTACGGTGAGTCAAAGTTGATATGAGAAAGTTCGTACTTGATGTAGAATAGAAGTTTGGAATTTTTAAGCGCGGGTGTGATTGGAAGGAGAACGTTTGTTTGTGGGCCATCATTTACCAAGCCGACAGAAATCAGCAATTCGTGCGATTTGAGTGAAATTTTCAGAATTTGTATATTCAATAAGTGTCTTCTATGGACAGTGAACATTTCAATTTTTGAGTTAAGAATTTTTGAAGCGGAATGCGCCATTGAGCGCAAATTTTTGAGTTCGTGTTTGATCTAGATTAGATTAACATTTCACGAAAATTTAATATCGAATTTCTATTTTTATTTAGATATTGCTTAACATTTAGTAACGAATCAAGACTTGAAATTTCTGAACAATTATTTAACACTTTGTATACCTGTTAAACATTCAACTTTTTGCGGAAAATCACATTCTAATGTTTTCGGGTTGAATAAAGTCCCAGGCGCACAGTTTCTTGGACTACCGCGACCATTCCAACAATCCAAAAATTGGTTACAAGAAAGATCAAATACGAATTGACCAGTAGCTCCTGGTGGACACCTGAAATGCATTTATTGAAGATCATTGGAACAAGAAAACCCGTTTTTTTTTTATCTATGTCCCACCTGTTAAATACAAGCACATTTGTTGATTTCTCAAGTTTTCTCTTATACACTGCTCGGTTGTTTAAAGTGTCCTTTTCCACGACATGTGTATTACGTTCGTTCAGAACACTCTTAATTTTTGCCTTAGTCCCATCAGATATATACACTGGATGTAATTGGGACGCTTGAGACTGACTGCAAGTTTTAAATAGTGAGAAAATAAAAAATCTGTCTGGAAATAGAGTGTAGCAAAAATGTCCAAAAAATCAGTTGCCGTGATTTAGTAACACAATTAAATACATATTTTTATTACACATTTTGTAAACACTTGCCTAGTTTTTGCACTGTCGTCTAAAAGACTAGACGTATAATTTTTGTAATGAACATGTACTTTGCTGTAATTTGAATGATAATAAGGTTCCGAAAAGCTTTTGTAATTTGAACTCTTTATTTTCAAACCAGTTGTATACAGCTTTGTCGGCTCATCGATTTCATTGGGAGTATAAATCTGTAATTATAAATAAATAAATATTACTGCTACTTTGGATAATCTGAAAATTGACTACAGTATTTTAGGCAATCTGTAGAATACCGTATGCGCTAGTCAATTTAAGTGATATGTTTAATATTCCGATTGGCTAGACATTGGGTATAATGTCTGATATTGCAAAGCTTTGCTTTTGCTATTGTAACGGAAATTTGCTGTTTATTTTTTTACTAGCAAACTTTGCTGTTCTGTGATGCAAATAATGGCAATCTTTGCCGATGAGAAATCAGATATTTTGAAGTCATATACAATATGATTAGGAAACGATGCGGTTAAAATATTTAAATATCGTGAAATAAAACGACCTGAGCGCATTTATGTAAATATAGACAAAAATCGAAATCTTCTTCGCGATTATGATCCATTATTATGGAGGTATTGCTTGTGTTTTGTATTTATGCTAGTATTGTTGATGAATGAAATATTAATATTAATTAATCTACTTACAATACATTTTTCCAAATTGTGTGAAAACAATACTTTYCCATGAAATGMAAAATATATTKGCAAWTAAAATGGACCAAGAATTAAATTATTAATTTAAATAAAAAAAAMATTAAAGTAAATTAGTTGATAAACACTTATTTTTTCAATTTGTAATTWGTAWYTAATTGATGTGATCAGCCACCTGAACTTTTTTGAAAATTTTGATTRTSTCTCGCTTTTGCCAAGGGATAGAAACACATTATTATGATCTTCTTGACTGCTAAAAAAATCATAAAAATGTTTTGTTTTCGCTCGCAATTTCCAAATGGCAAATGCAAAGTTTCAGGTGGTATGTACACTGTCTAGTTAATGTGAAGAGCAAACAATTGTAACACCTCAGATTGACTAGCGTGTACGGCATTTTGAAAATTGCCTAAAACACCGTGGTCAATTTTGTATCAGTCTACTCAAAATAGTAGTCATTCTGCACAGTGCCATTGCGAGTATCGTTGGTCAGTTTGCAGACTATTAGAATTGGTACGCTGCCGGTAACATATAGGTATTGCAAAAGAAATACAGAATAGCAGATGAGGAAGTTCTCTAGCAACTACTATTCGCAAGATAAAATTCACACTGGCATATGGATACATTCCTGCTCTGTAGCTGACTAAAGCTACTCAACAATAGCAGTAAGCGTCAACTACACATAATCCATATTGAACAATAGCCTAAGCACTATGCAATTAAAACTTATCAGGACGATAAGACAGATTAAAATCACGTTACAGGAAAAAATAATTTTTTAAATTCAAATTTAAATGAGTAAAAATGTTTCTGTATAAGCTGAAATAATAGAGCCATTTCGGGACAAGAATGAATTATCTGGTTTTACCCCTAAAACAGCTTGAAATATTCCGCACAATAACAGCCATCGCGTTGTGGACGTTTTTATAAGCCACATACTTGTTTCCACTTTTACGCTAATACATATATTTTAGAGAAACACGCACATAATGTTCACTTTAACAGACACCATAAACAGTATGTGTTCGAATAAGTGGCCAGCAACGTATTAAATGTTGTCAATATCTTATTTCTTAAAAACGTTATCACGTCTTGAAAGGGTCAATAAGTAAATGGTAATTGGACCAAACAAGATTACACAAATTGCTTCCTTTAATGTTTGAAGTTGTAAATATCATAATCTATCTCTCTTCGTTCTGTTAATATGAGAACTGAACCTGATACATATACATACATTAACTCAGCCAGATAACTTATATAAGTTAAATAGGAAAGAAAATATAAATAATTTTTCCGCGAAGATGAGAAGTGTTACGAAAGCGTATTTGATCTACCAACTGTAAATTTTAAGTTTTTCGATGTATCMATTTAATACTTAATAAATAACGTGCGCAATTCCGTAAATTGTTYTAATGAAATAAGTAACATCAGGATAAGGATATATTAAGTATCTATTMATATCATTCCTATTAAATATCTGTATAAAGGGTGTTTCGGGAGGGAAGGGAAATATTTTGGGAATGYGTTCAGCAAGTCAAAATAAGATAAATTAACTCTATGGTTTAATCCGATTCATAAGCGTTTCAATTAATCGGTTCTAAAGTTTGGTGTGGTAACAAATAACTCAAAACAAATTGGGGTAGACCACAATTATTTGTGGTCTTTTATTTTCTATTTATGTTTGGTTCTTTTATTATACAAGAAAATTTAAMGAATTTGGAATACTTTCAAAAATACGCACATCAACGTCAATACAAGCTCCAGCACGCTATTAATATGTCGTGTTGTAAGTTGAATTGCTTGGAGATTGTTTCTAATGATATTTGCAGCATTGGAAATTCGATTGCGGAGTCCTGTTAGGGTCTCTACTCTTGCTTCRTATACTAATTTTTCARTTAATTCRATTAACGTCGAACAATTAGCGGAACATCATTTAACATGTTCCTTACCGTCCAAYACAAACGGACCAAACACCTGGTCGTTGAGYATTGTGGAATGATAGAATAKTTAATTCTRKCACACGTTAATTCTGAATCAATGTTGACAATCARTCCCCTTTTTGGAGGACTATATCTTCCTTTYTCGTTTGTCCTGGCCACYGGGGATTACCCAAYCTCYAGYAARGTTGTTCAGGTTMTCCAGGGTTCACCCGTATGAYTGAAGTCTCACTTTGTGGAGGTRCGATCAGGAATTGGGCAGAAARGGCATCTKATAKTACGCWTYAYACTASCCYTTATATTGATASCTAGCYRRAAACCRCATSTTMTATTRYRCATCASACTAYYSCTTTSAWCSCAGGTGCAMWRASCTTAATCGGTAAATAAAATGTATCTGTGTAGGCCTCGATTGTGTTGGATCCGTTCACAAAATTGTACCCCTAAGTCATGATCACCTTCTTGATACGTTTGAACCGATTGAACCTGGGAAGGGTTTAAACCGTTTTTCCCAAGTGTCTTCCAAACTGCMATMTACGATTGTATTTGAAGTTCATTCCCTAATCCGCCTCGTAATTACACCTGGATTCACTTCAGTCATATCYAGACATTTTMTTCATTTTAACCCTCCTCGTRTCAGAATMCCTTAATACGATTAGAAATATTCTARTTCAACTTCACTTCACTTCACTTCACTTAGCAAAMCTTGTGTTTGAATATTGCGAATATGTAGCAAAATACTCCCTCTGGGTGAATGTGTGAGGCATTACGTATGGAAGTACATATAGGTACGAGGATAATTTAAACAAATTATATTTTAAAATGCATTTAATACGTTTAAAAAAGTGTGATGACTAATGGATAGCATGTCATAAAATTAAAAACATAATCACATATCTCGATCAATCAGTATATTAGTCCTAGAGAAGTCTTGCACTTTGCTCCTTTTCTTTCCAGTATTCTGATTTTTTCAATATTGCATATAGTATGATGCTGAAAATAACAAATACAAGAAAGTAGCTGCACCATACTAAATGAACATAAATTTGTGTTTTGACATCCTGAAACAGAAAGCAATCGAAATTATATCGAAACAGATTTGAAAGTATAGTGTTAATACGTACATCACTTAGGTAATTATCTACCCTGGATTTTGTTGGCTGAAATACCATGTTAGTCACATCTCCCTTGTTGCAAAACTGGGGATCATAAACTTTAGATAGCTTAGAAGTTAAGAAGCCTTTTGGTCGCTGAAAAGATGTCAATTATACATTAAATTGTTTGTGGCCAATGCTTAGAGTTTTAATTCTTGGTACATCAGGACTTACTTTAGATGATTCCGTCGATTTCTCGGGTGTGCATAAAGGTTTGCTAAAATACGGTAAATACCCTGCTGGTCCTCTAATTGTAACACAAATGTCTACAGCCGAAGTGTTTCGTGTTGTGGGTAGTGATGGAACATCGAACTGTATTTCTACATTTTTTATTGGCGTTGCGGCATCTTGGCAAGATATGGGCAACCAGCCTAAAGGTAGTTTAATTAATTGCAACTTCTTTAATCTCAGTCGACGAGGAATAATACTGAAATTCAATTCTAAGTTTTAAATCCTACCTTGCATTGTTAGAAAACCGTCAACTTGAGACCAGGACTGTATTATATTGCTGTCTGCAATACTGGCTTGAGTGAATACCGATATTTCATCGGTAATTTGTTCATTTTCCTCCAAGGTCTGAATTTCATTGGTCCATGTGCCAGTATTAATACAAATATCCAATTTATTGAATTGTTTGATCATTTCAAGCCAGTCCTTAAAATATTAAACTTGCTTGTAGAGTATAAAATAGTAAAATTAAATTTTAACCTCAGCACATAATTAAGGCAATATAATATACAACTGGGGTGGATCTTACATGTTGCTTATCGCTATTCACTATGGAACCATCGGTTTCCATTTGGAAAGTAAAATAAAAAGTGGAAACTGCTAAAGCTACTAAACAAATCAAAAATATCACCACCGGAGGCTTGTTCTTTAGAAATTCACTTAGGTTTTGTACTGGATAAGACACCATAATAAACACAATGCTTGTATGTTGTGTATAATAATTGTTAATCACTGTAAATATGCTAAATATTGAAAATATTGCATTGTTTATCTATGTGTAAAAAGTCAGGTTAGTTATAGTCACTTTATCGTCTCTATTTAGTCTTTGTCACATTTAATTATTTTTTTACAAATCTTTATTATAATTACAAAATGCTCTGCAGCAGGTTTTAAACTTGAAAATGAAACGTAATAAAAATGTATTTATTTTGTAGGCTAGCGTAGTTGCCAGATGTGCAATAAAGTATAGCGTTTGCTTTTGGCAAGTACCACAAAAGTTGGAATTGTAAATTCCTCTCATAATCATCATTTTTGAAATGCTGAGAGCATATTCGTATCCGCACGACACCAAGCATTCTCCCATACTACATTATACAGTAAACTTTTTAACTACCAAACGCAAAATGCTCAGTTATTTGTCTACAAGATTCCCAAATACGCCCAAACGCATTCACCCCATGATTCAATGAATTAATTGTTTCGTTTGGCCCTACTCGATTTTACAAATGACACTCTGGCAAACACAGCAAGCTATAACTCTGCAAATCAGAGATTTTGTAGACTTTTTAGGATATTTTTCTTCGCAATAAGCCCAAATCAGGTCCCAAACGCGATTTTCAAAGCATACATATTCTGCAAACCATATTCTTATATATCTTACCACTTTTGAACTATTGCGTTTTAAATTCATTGAAAATCTGTCTAGGTTACATGCATTTTAAATGGGATCAGCTGTTCACTTTCCCAAAGTGCTAACCAGTGACGTCATGTGCGTACGAAAATCGAGTTTTCGACCGATTGATATCCTACCTTCTATTCATTGTATCATGTACAAATATATATTAGAAACAGATATAAATATTTTCTGCTATCTCAAAGGGAGAGAAACTTTGACGCAAGATAAAGATTATCGTCATGCCTTCTATTGTGCTATGCTTTCCACGGCACCTTTAGATGGCGGCACACCCTAATACATTCTCGCGAGTATATACCATCTGGCTATAATTTCCGCATTTTGGAAGTTTGGTATCAAGATCATACTTCACAGGATCATTTCTGTAGTATATCTTCACATACTCTCTTCTCACAAGATGAGTTTTCGCAACCATGAGGATGAGACACAGTCTCATTTCCTGAGCGTGAGAAATTGCTCAGATCTATCTCATGATTAATCTGTGGCCTTCGATGATCGTTCGACCTGTCTTGGACGGGGTGTGGAAATGAGTCAGTCTGAGTGGTTGCATTTTAAAGAAATTAAATTAGTGTCAAGTTTCTTAGCAGTATGTTTCTGAGAACAACGCATCCGACTAGGGATGACACGAATTACTTAAGGCATTTTGGAACAGTCGGTACCATGGTTATAGTTAAGACGTCAAAATGCTAATGTTTACATCGGAGTACTGAGCAAGAGGGAGATTCAGGCACCTCGTTAGAGAAAGATCTATTGAGCCAAATCTCTTTATTTGGAGCCTTTCACAATATTAATTAAATTTGAAAATATAATTTAACAAATAAGAAAGGGAAAATAATTAAAAAGGACAAATGTAATATCAGTTTATTGTTTATTGTATTTTTAGTATGCATCATATCAGAGTACTCGAATAAACAACACGGATCATATTCGAATAAACGCGGCAATAGATCCGAATAAAGGCATTAACAAATTTTAATTTTAATATGCAAGTATATTTTTGCACTTTGAAATTGTTTTGGTTATAAACATAACTAAACATAACATAATTTTTTTTTCCAGAAATTACACTTATTATGCCTTAGAATATTAGTATCTCTAATAGGAGTAGGAGGTTTATCTTTTTAACTAGCATCTGGCGGAAGAGGAATTTACATACCTACATATACAGGTTGCTCTACAATTTAGTCGAATAGTTTAAGCGACTTCGAAGTCATAAAAAAGTTATAACAACTTTTTGTCGTAAAAATTGTCATTTGCAAGTTTTTTTTCTCAGCTTCAACCAAAATATTTGCTAATTGTTCTTATTAAAAATACCGAATTTTATAATTGCAAAGCAAGCCTTATAGAAAGTAATGCGAATAAATTAATTTAAGGGTTCTCCTTTCAAGGGGCTTCAGTCCATTTAAAAAGCAATGTTTGCGATATATGTTTTGCGGTTTATATATGTTTTTAATATTATTAAAATTACATTTCAAATCGTTTTTTAAAAGATTACTGGGTTACTGTCAGACACCCTACAGAATATTAAAAATCATGCAGAATTCAGCGTAACACTATATTAAATGCCTTGGTCGAATTTATTAAGATGTCGAACGATTTATTTTGACTATCAATGTTTCTCCCAATAAACTCATATTGTTTTGCTTGAATCCTACCCTGTTTTGGTGAAATCTATTTTCTATATTTGTAGAAGAAATGTGATATGAGTTTAAACGTATCTATTAAATTTTCTAATAGCTTTGGAACCGGTTTGGTGGCAAGTGATTAGTGTTTAAATAAAGACTTTTAGATATCTTACTTCAGCCACATAACTCCACAAAATTGCGGATTTAAATAGTATAATTTTTCAGCTTCTTTAATAAAAATATTATAAATATTTATTAAAAATCTGAAGAGAATATCAGAGTATTTAGAGCGAATATTGATAGTGTAGTAATTATATATTATTTTAATATTAATTGCTATTTGCGTCTGAATCCACTTTATCTCTAAGCGAGTTTCCTTTCATGTTTTTCGCGACTCTCCCTTTGTATAGATTATATAATATTGCCCATGTGTATAGATTATAATAATTTGGATTGATTCTGTTAGAGTTCTTAAAATTATCTTTAAATTTCTGACACTTCAAACACAGTTAGGTGTTTTGCTTTCAAGCATGTTTAAAATTTTGATGATATGTATAAAAGTATCTTACTTAGTCAACAACGTTTGTTTGTGAATTAAAAAACTATAATTTTTATAATCCAATAATTATTCTACTTAATACTAATTTGTTTGTGTCTTTTATATAATTTGAGAGTAATTGGTCAATAATCCAGCGGTTTTGTCTCAATTTGACTGATATTCGTACCGAAGGATTAGTAGAAATGCATTTCATATTCGCTCCAATTTTTAAACTGGCGTACAAGGGCGAGGACTGGATATTTTGATAGTCAAAACTCTTATTAAACCCTTGTTAACAAATAACAATAACTCCTAGTATACTGTTTATTCAAAAGTATTTATGGAAAAGACACACCCAAATTCCGACAACTTTCCCAATATTTGAAGAAATCATTTTAAAAAATTCTGTTTTATTGGGCTTCTTCAGCTTTACCGCTTGCTTTACCAATGTCTTTTCGCTTTATGTAGGCAGGCAGTGGGGCAATTTTACATTTTCACTGGGTCAGAGATTTATTGGGATGATTTACCGCCATATGTAAGTATAGCAAATGCGCCATTCAATGCAATTGATTTTTAATATTTTGAATCAAAAAATTTTTTAGTCCTGTGTTTTATATCACAAAGTTTTTCCAATTTGCCAAAAAAATTGGGCACTTTAAAATAGTTGATTGATAATCTGAATTCCTTTTTGCAAATTTCATCCGCGTGTGACGTGCTAGTTATGAATAGAGAGGGTAGTTTTGTCGGTATTTACCCCTTCTTGCTAAACGAGGTGCATACAAAATTCACCTGTATGTTTCTTATTCCCCCTAAATTCGCAGGCAAAGGGTCATTTACTCTGGTTGTGTTCAATACTGTTGCGGTGAAGTCCAGTGTTACACTTTGCTGGGCTTAAAACGCTAGTAGATTGCCACTTATAGTAGATTATGTTCGAAATTTGAATTTGAACCAACAACTAAGGTAGGATGAATAATTTATTTCATTTTGCTGCATTTAATAGATGATAGAATCCTGTTTGTAGATCTTTATTTTAAAAGTAATTTTTGTGATAATTGCTTGTTTTTTATGTTATTTCATGTTTTAGTACTCTCATTTTGCAATTGTTTCAGAACATTCGGAACGCAAAGCTTTTATCTTGAGCATATTGTTAACAAATAAGTAATCACAATTTGCCAAATTTTACACCAATATAGATCACAATAGCGCTTCTTTCCTCTTCTATCCGTGCTTTTCATTTGGTTTTGGTTTGATGATCACATAGGCTAACATGTTCAGTAATGCCTGTAACGCTGTTGGTTGAAAGTAAAAGTTGATTCAGACCTCATTAGTCGTTTGTTCGTTGTTATTGTTTATAACTTTGTTTTGTATGAGTTGTGTTTTAACCGCTGTTAAGTTTGTAAATAGTGCCTAGCTAGTTCATCCAAGGTATGCTAATCAGAATATTAAATATTAGTTTACGTTATGACCTATCTAATAATTATTTATTTATTTTGCATATGGAATACATACTTAAATATTTTCTAAATTCAACTCAGACAAATTAAAGACTGATCAAGCAAGGAAATGGGATGATAGTTCGAAAATATTTTCGTAATGGGATGTCACAAAACATACACAAAAATACTAATTTTACTTGTTTCCACTTTGCTATCAGAAATTGTAATTAATTGTATGTCCTGAGGCTATCTGCTTTTAAATAATTCGCATAATACTTGCTGCCGAAAATAAAAAGTTGAACGCAAATTTCAACTGGACGATTTAAATAGTTCTATTCAACAGTCCATTCAAAAATTAAGGACACAATTTTCATTATAATTTCGTAGCGGCAATAATTGCTTCATAGTTGAACTAATTACGCTACTTCGTTATCAAAAAAGCATTTTGTCAAAGGAGTGATTGTGAAATATTTATTGTTTTGTTTATAATAGAAAATTAATCTCACCTTACTACTATACAGGACGTTTCCTTGATATTGTAACCACATGTTCTACACAAAAAAAATAAATTACATCTCAAACAAACGGTGGTCTTTTGATGCCTGGTTACGCATATACAACCCAAATGCAAATCCAAAAGTTTTATGATGAACAATTATATTCCTTGGGCTTCTGAACCATTGAAAGTGTTTGTTTTCTGTACGTTTCTACATATTAATAAAAACAAAGTTGAAAAAGTATGTTATAAGTAAAATCTTTGTACGCTTCTAGATTGTCTTCAAATAGATAAAACGCATGAATTTTGTAGTTAATATGGAAGAGAAAACATCAATTTATTCTGTTCTGAATTATGCTCAATTTTAGAGCATAGAGATAAAAACCTTTAATTTAATTGTTCGCAATTATTTTATAAAATGATCTACAGTCTGTAAACACATTTGATTATCATGTTTTTATGTAGAATATGTAACTTGTAATATTACAAATTATTTTATCACGTTTTCAAAAAGATTTCAATTATAATTAACTATAACTGACTTGAAATGTCCACATTTTGGTTTGATGTGGTTGGTGAAAGTCACAGTAGAACAGAAAATTTGACTTAAAATCGTGTAACAAACAAGAAGCGGAGTCTCTATTATAAATTAGTCTAAAATTATTTAAAATACATTTTTGCTAAACACTGCATGATGAAGATGCAAAAGTGCAAAGATGAAGCGAGTTAAGAGTTTTTACAAACTAAAATAAAATGGCTTATAAAATGTTATCTTTAACTGAAGCTAAAAGCAGTAAAAAGCAAGTTTACAATTTACTTAGTATCTTTAAATTGGCTCTTACGAGTTCGAATATATTTTCGAGCACTAAATATCATTTGAGTTATTGTGATATCAGGTTGAATTTGGAAACTAAGTATCTAGTAATTTTGAAAAAGTTCCAAGATCACTTTACTTTCGTTAAAGACAAATCTTTTATTTGATTTTTCTGACATTTTTTCACACACTGGGACATTTTAAAAATTTTACAAGATTGATCACTTTTAAAGTTCCTGATAAAACTGATTACAAATTCAGCTGAAGTAGTTTTGGGCGTAAGCTTTTTTCAAGGGTTCGTATGGGGGACTTTTAAAGAACATAAGAGCGATTATAATCAATTGAATTAGTGTAGAGAAAATGTCCGAAAATGTTTCCTCGCCGAACTAAACTAAACACAAAATCAGGTTGTGATGTGATCGAAAAACGTTTAATTGAATCTCTATGGTTAATTCAAAATGAAAAGTGGACCAAGCGAAATTAAATGACTAAAACGAAGAATTATCTCGAGGAAAAACTTCTGGATCTTCCACTTGCGTTCAAACCCGTTGTATAGAAATGGTTATCATAATTGTAATAATGTTTTTTACGTTTTTCTTTTAGTGCATGTAAAAATGAATGAATAGTGAAAGGATTTTCAACTTTGGCATGTTGCATGTTTTTTAAAGAACAATAAATGTATGCTATAATATATACATACCCTGCAGTAATAAAAGACTCATTTTGTTACTGATAAATAAAACGTTAGCTTTATCGTGAGTCTAGGTACTTAATATTTAGTTTCCTTTTAGGTTTTATTTTGTCGGTTCGTGTTGCGTCTGGATTTATTTTCAAGACGTCTGATTTGCTATCTGTAAGACAAGTAGTTGCCGCAATTATAAGTTGCAGGTTTAATTAATTTTTCCTCTATACTATAAAATGAATAGATCCAAGTACTTGAAAAGTAAATTTAAAAACCAATATTCAACAATTATAGTTGATGGATTTTGTCCTAATTTTTAATTTAGGAAAAGTTATGAACAGTAGATATAAATTCTTGGCAAAAATCTTCAAATAGACTCATAAATCTTTATTAAAAAATGTATATTAGTTTAAATCGGAATTATTTTGAACAATTCCTGTTGAATGCTTATTTCGCTTCTTATTTGCACCAATAGCGTTATTTACGGTAAATCGTAACTTTTAATTATTTAATGATATAGAGAACTTCAGATTTGGGTAAAGATAAAGCGCAGTGGTGATTTCCATATAAGATTGACCCTAATTTAAGGGCCGATATCACGACTTGAGTAAACCGCTGGAATTAGATAGACACAATACATTGTAAATTTAATTTGGTTTAGGCACGAACACCAGCTAGAATTTCCATTATAGAAATTAATCATTATCCTGAAACTGGAGATTGCGTTAGCGATTATTGAAAATAGAGCAGATTTACAGATTTACGCGAGGTCGCAGTTCGTACGTATGGAAATCGTTTGACGTAGGTGGAAGAAGTTAAAGGAAAAGCTTTGCTTTTACTGTTTGTGTGAATAATCAAATTAAATTAAATATAAACGATAAAAAATGTCATTAACGCGCTACAAGGCTGCAGGACACAGGCTAAGTTTATTTGATGTTTATGAAAGTCCTGTTCTCTCTTCCTTAGAAAAGACATTATATTAGCAGTTAGTAGAAATTTACATATTTATTACATTAAAAAAACGTTAATTTTCCGAGCTAGTATTCATAAAATAGTCTTCAAAAACGTCAAGTCCATGTGTTATAGTACAATAAAATCACAAACTAAGTTTTGCGGGGGAAAAAGAAAAGGAAACCTTTTTGTAACGACTTTCCATCATTTGGCCACTTCCGGTCTTTCTGCTGGACCTTGTCACGCAACTCTGAAGGGCCAATCCGAATAAAGCTAGATGTAGGACAAAATATTCAAAGTGAAATTAAAATATCGTCAACTGCAAGTAGGCCAAGATAATTTTTGCAGGGTTTTTCTTCGAAATTTACATCATGCAAGTTTAAATATACTTCAATAGATTAAACCGATATTGAGCATTTCATCCGGGTTAACTGTTCGGTCATTGATCGCTTTCACTTTGCTTATACAATCATTTTCTTCGTTTTTAAGTGTCTTAGTTTTCCTGCACCTATGTCCGTAGTCTTATTAGCGTTTTCGTAAAATTTTTGAAAAGAAAATATTTTGAATCGTCCGGTATATTATTTTACTAAATGGACCTACTAATCAATAATATGCTTTTGTATCTAATTTCTACCCTGATAAATTAATAAAAAATCCAAGCTCATCAGCGTTAATGTGTATTTTGTCTACTAGAACTATATTATACAGGATTATTAGACAATAAATTAATAAAATACAATAATATATAATTATTACTACGTGAATCTTCCTGTAGGTTTGACTAGTTTTTCCTTTTTCTTTGCTTTGCCCAATAAATGCCCATCAGAATGGTTTAGCGGAGACTCGCTTTGGATCATCGATATGTGAAAATGGGGAAAAAAACAAAATATCGGTCACATACGCTCGTTTTTTTTGCATCGCTCCAATGATTGAGCGGAAACACAGGCTCGTCATTGTGAGTGATCTATGTAGGTGCCAATTTCCGGGATTTGCACACAAAACTGAAAACGCTTCTGTTATTAACTGCCTTCATGTTGAACAACTCTGCAAATCAGCATTTCTGGTAGTTAAAACCATGAATATATTCGATATACGTATTCTACTTTGTGGCTGGAATAACTGTTACACTGCTATATTTAATTAAAATTGTTTTATGGAAATTCTATAAGCATTACCAATTTGATCCGCAACGAATACAATGTGGATCCGGATTCTAAACAATTACGTGAATCTAAATGAAAATAATAATTAAAAATAAAAGTAGGTACGCACTTATTGTTGCGACTAGAATGAATCATAGGAATATATGTAAAAAATATTACGCATAAGTCATGGCCATTTCTAAGAAAGTTCAAGAAAAAGTTTGCGTGTGACACCATTTCCAAGACTTATTGCTTTTGCTACCCTTAAAAATGCCCAGCTTGATACAATCATGGATAAGGAATAGTTGTTTTATTACTCAGCGGCTTAACAGAATTTGAACGTTGAACTTCGCTTACATTAGTTGGCACAAAATCGAAAGTTTCATTAAAAATATATAAATGAATTTAACATTTTGCAGATGTGGTGGAATATTTTAGTGACTCTTTTGGTCTTTCCAAGTATATTAATGGCTCAAAGAGATTGCTCCCACAATGAGTACGATCGATGTATTCGAATAGCAGACCCCTTAATTAAGGTAATGATAACAATAGATCAGTTTGTAATGTTTTAATAGTAGATATATTGAGGGTTTTCTCTACGTCCTTAGAATAATTTTAAGATGTCTTCTTAGCTCAAATTCATGATTTTTTACGTTTTTTTTTATTCGATTGCAGCCTATCTGCCTAATTCTATAATTTTATTTTATTTTCTTAAAATCTCGAATACATTCATGCCAATGAAGTTTGGTAGTGGATAGAGATTTATTATTAAAATTAATAATATATTTCATATAAAATATTGTCTGTTCTTATTCATTATTTTTATCTATATTTTGTTTTTTTCTTTTTGTTAATGAATTTAAATTATATGCACATATTTTTGTTTCTGTTGGCTACTTTTGATTTCCTTCTTGATTTGGGACGACAATCAACTTGTTAATAGTTTTGCTCTACCTTCAAACTTGACTGATCGAAAAGTTAATTTGAAAATTGTTAGTGTGCTAATAAATAGATAGAAATATTTTAAGAATTAAAAAAAGAAAACTTTGACCTATTTTGAGACAAATTTCGATTTATCTTTTTGAAGTTTTGTGAAATTCCTATTAGTGGAGGTAATTCTAATGAAATTTGTTTTCTATATAAAATGAAAAGCTGTCGGTAGATCTTATTTTAAACATTGCGAGCGAAATATGTTTATTTTCTTCTTTCATCTTTTTTCATCTTATCATTGTTACCTCACTAGAAGTTTTTGTTTTGCATCAAATTATTACAACTGGTTTTGCCCCATTAAACATTTAATTAGATTGCGCTTTATAAGATTTTAAACGTTTTAACTCAAGTGGTACATCTTGTATACAAAAAATATTTTTTGGTTTAATGCTAATGGAGCAATTAAAAAATAATTATGAAACAAAAGGCTACCAATAATTAAAGTAAATAAACCATTATTTTGAGAAGTTTTATGATTAAATCTTACTCAATATCTAAAACAATATTGAAATATCACGCTTAAATTAAAAAACATAAAATTTTTACAGCAGATTTTTCCAAACAAGAACGTTTGCTGCCCGATTACAGTACAATATAATATATAGTTCTTCAGGATTAAAACTGGATCACCCTGTATATGTATTTGTTATTAAGAAGGTTATGAACACTTTCTCATGTTTCGTCAAATAAAGCAGATTATTATATTTTCTTTCATTTTTTGCTAAATAATTTTACATCATCCTTCATTCATGTTCACCCCGAATAAATTTTAAATTTCGCAAATTTAAATTTTTACTTCTAGCACATTTAAAGTTCAAAATGTATTCATAAGAGTTTTTCTTGTATTTTTTGTAATTTTTCTAGAATAATTTCAAAAATTAACAGTTAACATGTTTTTGAGCGTCTCACTTGAAAGCATGCCCGAACCGAATCAAGTTTGAAAATATTGTATTTAAACTCGCTTGTCGCGTTAAGTAATTCATTTAGCTGGAACTAGCGGCATTTGATGCAAAAATTGTCTGTTTTTGTTTTAGGAGGCACATTTAGTATTTCCAGACAACATCGGAGATATCGAGCAGGTTTGTAAAATATGGAATATGTTTGTAGACTGTTTAAAAGCCTTTACCGACAACTGTTTCACCGATCAAGAAAGGAAAAAATTTAACAGGGCTGTAGAGAGCCCCATTGAAAGTATACATCAAATGTGCATGCACACCAGTTATCAAAAAGGTGAAAATTAGGCTTAGATAGTGGCGAATGTTGTTATATTTTCATAATTTTTTAAAGAATATCTGCAATATGCGCCATGTATAAAGAGCACGATAATCGAAAGGAACTATTGCGGACCCCATTACAATACTCTTGTAGATCAAGCTGAACAAGGAGAAATTATTTCAAAGTCAACGCTTTGCTGGTAAAATCTTATTATTAGCACCTTTGGCGGAAGCCCATAGCTTGATTGATTTGTATTTTTCTTAGTTCTCATGGTCGGTTTAAGCAATGCGTCTTGAGAGAGACCAGGAGAACCTGCGATAGTGGCAAATTTGATGGAAGAGCATCCAAATTTGCCTCCCAAATATTAGATAAAGCTTTCAAATTCTTGCAGGATCAATGTGTTAATTATATGTAAGTGACTAATTTATTAAATGAACAATGTATTAGATGTAAGTTTTCGTTCCAGCCCCAACTCGGGTGATTGTATTTCTACGCAAGATTCGGTAATTTCTTATTCCGATCGATCCAATCCGTCTTCCGCAATAAGCACATCATCCAGCGAAGTTTATCCTTGGAGTACGATCCAGCAAGAAATGGGCGGACGGGAAGTTTCTTCTTCAAGGAGCCCTAAATTATCTACTTCTCAGAGTTGGTTATCATCCAGCGTACCATCGAGAGCTGACAAAGTCAGTTCTGCAGGATTAGGTAAAATATTGAATGAACGTTCTGAATTTCTTACCAATGCTGCTAAATTCTGAGCTTCACACGTGTGAGGTTTATTTATGCAATTTATGCAATTGTCCTCTTTAAAGGTTCTATAGCTCCAACTCAAAACTTGGGCACTCGTACGCGCCCTGCCTCATACGGCAGGTCTAACAGTTGGTCTTCCGATCCCACTTCAAGCAGCACCGTTCCTACGAATACTGCCCCAATGTTTCCAGCAATGAGCAGTACTCCTACCAGTTTTCGGGATGTTTTTGGTACCAGACCATCATGGAATGTTTACTCCGGGATTAATAACAGATTGGACGGAAAAGCTATTTCATGTAAGTAGTTTCAATTGCTTAGGGATCTAGCGGCAACGCTTTTGTCCTGATGTAGCTGAGCCGTGGAGGCCGACCGATCATCCTTCAACCACACCTCAATATCATTCTCCACTGTGGAACTCTTTAAACACACCTACTACACATACATGGTATCCTGCTGCTGGAAATCAGATGACTAATGAAGTGGATGAACCCAATCAATTGGGACTAAGTAAACCGGAAAATGCTGCATGTGAATGGAGGAATCTTGGGGCCATGCATAGAATATTTACGATTTGCCTAATTGCGCTGAGAATGTTGGCTACATGAATGCAGTTTCTTATTCAGTTATATTTCGCAATAAATACGTCTATATATAATTAAAAAAAAACGCTTTATAGATATTTAAATTATCGTAGATAGTAAACTATTTCCTGAAAAGCTGAGGAGAGTCTGAAATATTGTTCCCTTAATTAATCTGTAAACGCAGAACACTTGAAATATTTACTCGCCAGAATCAGTTCCGAATTAAAGGTGAATTGATAAAGAAAACTCATTTTCGAAACATTGGTTTCAGTGCAAAAGTGTGGCGTGAAAAGTAATGAATTAAGTCTCAATCGCGTCGTTTCAGCCCAAAAAAGGTGTTTATGTCTATATTTATCAATATCAAATGTGTTTTAGCTCCTAGCTATAGTTCGTATACTTTTATATACAGGGTGTCCACGAAGAAGGTGCAAATATTTAAACTCTATATGCTTGCACTTTTTACGCAGATATTCTGGATAATATATTAGCCTTTACTACTATTGCTACGTCCTTCAGAACTATACTAGTCAGTGAATACATATAAACTTTAAGATGTATTTTATTATATTTGGAGTTGATGTTATGTGCAAAATATAGCGTATATTTTAAACTTCTTGTGTCATGGTTTTGTACTGAAATTAACTCTTCATTTAACATTTGTTGTCGACATTTTTTTCACTAACTCTTCATTTAATTAGCATTCTAGCACTTTGTATAAATCAACGATGAAGAGTCTTTAATTTGTGTAATAGAACTATACTGCAAACAAGGTTTTAGAGCTTTGATGCATTAGCATAGCAGGTAACATAAAAGAGGTAACATAACAGATACTTAAGAGGTAACCGCATAAAGATGCGATTTTTACTGATGAAAATTCAGAAAAAAATGAACATAACGAATTTCAATTAAGTCTGAAGATATGGACAAGAAAATCCGAAATATGACTTCAAAATTGAAACCCAACAGGTAATACACTATTTACGGAATATTTTTGTATTGGAATTTCTAGATTTTTCAAATATTTTTTGATCTCGCAATTGAATGCAACTCAATTGAACCTTTGAACATCTTTGAACCTTTAATATCTCCTGATCTGTATCGCCATTGATAAACACTTCATTCACAATTCATATATTTCAGTATAGTTCAAATCTGAAATTTGGAAGCGAAGAAATAGTCAAATAATTCGCATTTCTGGCAATTTAGCTTTGAAAGTTGAATAACTATTAAAATAAAACAAAATTAAATTCCGCTTACATAAAAAATATGAAGAAATACAAATGAAGCGGTTAGAGCAAAAAGAGTACGAGTGAGATTTTTCATGTAAGTAAAGAAAAACTGAAATGTTCTTTAACTCCTTAAGTAACCTATACATTTCTATACTGGTTTCTAGCTATTCTAATTTTCTAGGCAAATGTATGGCGTACGTAGGCAAAAATCTGAATAAAACATCCAGATAAAAAAGAAACCCTGGGATAGGAGTACCCTTAGCTTGGAGTATCTGCGATATACCCTTAGCTCTAGCCCTTCAAATTACTTACTTACTACTAGCGCGCAATATCCAAATGAAATATTTAAAAGGTGTTTTATGAGTTCAAAAAAGTTTTCATTAAAGGATCTTATAAACCAATACCCTAGTTACAACACCATTTATATAATATTTAATATGCAACTTATAACGATCATAGATATTTTTTTAATGTGGAAGATTTGCCAATTTGGTGTTTTACAAATCTTGTCTATATCTAGTGGGAAAAGATTGTATACTGTAATAATATATTTGAATAAGCTACAAAGACCTATTTAGTAAGAGATTACAAATCAAGGTTATGTCTGAATCAAAATACAAATAAATATTACATAAAAATAACCTAATAATGTTCAGCTATAATAAAGAAATTACTTAACATGAAGCGAGATGTGAATCAAATTGTTTTAAAATCGATGCTATATGCCTATAACAGGCACTTATCCACACAATTGCATCAATTTGTGCCAAAGCACAAGCCTGTGAGTGAAAGTGATGTGAAACGATTGCAAGAATTTATATTTAATTCCAAAAAATTGCTGGTTTTAACTGGGGCTGGAATATCTACCGAATCCGGTAAACAAATTTGAAATTCACCCTATTGGTTTTAGATAATACACAGTGTTAAACTTTAGCTGGTCAATTTCAGGTATTCCTGACTATCGTTCCAAAGAAGTGGGATTATATGAAAGAACCAACCACAAACCTATTCAGCATATAGAGTTTATCAAATCTGCAACTGTGAGACAAAGATATTGGGCCCGAAACTTTGTAGGATGGTTTAGGTAATTTGGACAAATTAACAAGCATTCTGCTGACAATTTTATGCTGCAATTACAGATTCTCAAAGAGTCTGCCAAATTCTGTCCACTTTTCTATAAGAGACTTGGAAATTGAAGACAAAATAGTCCATACGGTTGTTACACAAAATGTGGATGGTTTACACTTGAAGGCAGGAAGTAGAAATGTTATTGAATTGCATGGAACAGGATATCGGCAAGTATTTCAATAAATAAAAAATAATTGAAAATGTGGGTGTCTACATGTAGCTAGAAGCTATAGACGACTGAAAGATTTGGTAAAATCGATGAGCTTATTTTGGATCTTCTTTTTTCTTTTTCATTTTTTGTCTGATATTAGCTTATGAAAAAAATGCTGCAATTTAGTTTGTGAATTAGGCTTAATTTTCAAAACAATGTGAATAGATGCCGCTATGTCAGCATTTGAAAAACAATTATTGCAATTCCAACAATCTTTGAATTAATTCTGGACAAAAAATCGCATCTCTGTTTAAATAAATGTTCATCCGCCTTCCCGTCTCCCAATTTCTAGCGGCTTTAAGATGGCACAAAAATCAAATTTTCAGATGCGTGTTTTTTGGGCTCAATTACAGCTTTCGAGCTAAGAGGCTCCTTAGCATGCATACATAAAGTGTTTGGGTCTATAATGAAAAATAGATCGTCGTTTAAAGGCCGCGACCACTGAAAAAACAACTTAAGAGGAGTCAAAAATGTCGATTCTAATGTAGTTTTGAATGAGCTCTTTATATTTCTCGCTTCATTTAATCGAAAATGGAGAGGACATTTACTGATCATGTAAGCACTTAAAACGTTGCACAAAATTGAAGCAAAAGTGTTGTTTAGTCAAAAACCAACAGGAAAAACATAGATTAGAGATTCAATTGTGCTTATTTAAAAGAAA